CTTTCTCTGTCGAGCTTTGTGATCGGGTTTGTATACCACGGGTCGCTTTTATCCGCCTTTTCGGGAATGAAGTTATCCGCTTCTTGCTGCCAATGATGGAGCCACTTCCCTCTGGAGATGATGTAGTTCTTGACTACCGATAACCATTCTCGATAACATTGCCAAAGGTAAGTTGCTTTTGACAGCTCCGGCATGGGAAGTGTTCTGATAATCGATTTGACCTCTTTTTCTTCTTGTCTATTATGACGTGCAATTGCTGCATTGCATTTCGGCCATTCCGAAAGGTCATCTTGTGTCATTTCTTGCATGCATTTTGCACATCTTTCTTGAGGTCGCGCTATCGAAAGGTCATCGCTGTCGTGCCAATCGTGATGGCAAGAGGTTGCTCTCTCTTCCGCAGTCCATTCTCTTGGTTTGCGGGAAACGACGCGATTGTCCCCTTCCGGCATCCGTTGTCTCGGTTCGGGGCGGACGATAACTCGCTTATCCGTTTCTCCGGAATCGGTATCTGTCCACTCGTCATCTTTTTCGATTTCGATTACGCTGTTATCTGATGATATTTCGATGACTTCGATTTCTTCATCTGCAGAGCGTGGTTCGGAAGTAAGACGACGACTACGCTCTGCTGCATCGTTGCGCGCTCGCGTGTCTCGGCCTTTCACCCGCCCTCTTGCTTTATCACGTGGTTCGAAAGTGTGCTGAGCACCATGCTCTGTTTTCCTTGCATCCAGTTGCTTTCTGGCTTGATCTCGTATTTCTGAGGATAATGCTCTTTCGTCGCTGTTCATCAGTCCTGGCTCTGTCCTGGGCCCAACCATTTTCGTGCCCAGTGCCTCTGGTACTGGGAGTAGCCTTGACCACTCCATTCCTGGCACTAGCGACTGTTTCTTTGCAATCAGTGCTTCTGCTTGCATTATCTTGATTTGTTCCATCGTTGGTGACCTTTGTGTCCCTTTCGACTTCAGTGACCTTTTGCTTCTTTCAGCCTTTTTTAATCCCTGTGCCTCTGGTACTGGGATTAGATTTTCACCATTCTCATTTTGTTCCTTATCATTCGATCCCTGTGCCTCTGGTACTGGGATAGCCGTTTGCCCCGAATTATTTCTTTGTTGAAGTTCGGTGACCTTTCCTGCATTGACTTTTGCAGAGGATTTCGGCTCGTCATCTTCGGCTTCAGTTTCTCGTTCTTCCTCGTCATCCCCGTCTATCAGGATGAATTTCTTTGCGAGGAAGTCGAATCCCAGTAGGACTTGGACATCGTCTGACGCTGGTCTGACGTAGAACGAGTGTTGACTCGTTTTCCTTCTTAAGGTCACTGGTGCTACGCAGTAGTGCGTTACTTCGAAGCCTGACGTTCCGCTGATCCCTTTGATCATCACCTTCTTTTTCGGTGGTAGTCTTACAGTCTGGAGGCCATTCCTTTCACAGAACTGTTGACAAATCAAAGACGTCTCTGCGCCAGTGTCAAGCATCGCCATGACCTTTTTATTTCCAATTTTGACTTCATGTGTATAAGCTTCGATCCGTTTCGGTAAGTTTCCATCTTCGAGTTTCAAGACTCTTATTCGACACTTGACTGGGATTGGTGCAGCATGCTTGCTCTCTATCAGACCTTTTGAGCTCCAACGATCTATCCGTTTCGGTACGTCGGGTCGCACGTCTGAGAACTTTTCTATCCGCTTTGATTTCGGTAAGGCGTTCGTCTGCTCTTTCGCGGCGATTTCTTTGCCCGTGACCTTTGCCACTTCGCACATTAAACCCTTCTCTTGTGCGTTCTCGTGACCTTTTATCACTTGCGCAATAACTTCGTATTGTGACCTTTCATTGCGCACGTCTTTGGACGGTTTTTCTTGCAACTTTGTCATTATCTCTTGCGTAATTTCATCCGCAAAGGTCATCTCGTCATCTTCACTCTTTTTCTCTGGTGACCTTTCGTACACAACCATCTTATGGTCGTTTTCTTTCATCCAATCGGTAATTTTCTTCGCAATTTCGTTATTCGTGCGAGTTGGATCGATTTGAGATGACAATCCGTCAGTTCTTGGCGGTGACCTTTCGTTGTCATTCCGGATTGCTTCTGTCATGTCATACGACTTCTCCTTCTGCGGAGTTTGCGCTAAGTCCGGTGACCTTTCCGGTTTTGACATGAAAAATCCACCATTTAGTGACCTTTGTAAAGGTACTTTCTCACCATACTGAGGCGGTAATTCACCCTTCTCAATCCGCTCTCGAAACTGACGGTTATTTTCGTCACATTGGTTCTTCTCTTTCCAGTACTCTTGTACTTTCGGTTGTGAAGCTTTAACCATTTCCTCGAGATGTTTTCTCATCCGCCAGTCTTGTTTCTCTCTTTCTTCCCAGTAAGCTTCTCTGGGAATTCTCACATCTTGCGGTGACCTTTGTGGCGGAGGAACTGGTTTCCACATACCGTGTCGTCCATTTGGTCTGTAAGCCACTTTTTGCCACTCCATCTTCTGTTGTAGAGTGTTTGCCTCATCGAGAGAGTCATCTGAGACTTGCTGTGCCCCTTCGCTCTGTTTCACTGTTTGCTGCGCCATTCGCAGAGTCAAGTTACTTTCTTGACCTTTCGGTTCATCGGCGACTTCACCGTGACCTTTCTCTTTCAGTGACTCCTGAGTCTGTTGCACTGGCTGTCCCTCGTGACCTTTCACTTCTTCAACTCTCGCTTGAGGTGACCTTTCGGTCTCTTGCGCTCCTTGCGCAGTCACGGCCTTTCCGTGATCTTTTTCGGCAGCTCTTGCTTGAAATACTTTTGCCATCTGCTCGAGAAATTTCGGTCTATCTGGACCGCCTTCGTGCGTCCGTTGCACTGTTACGGTCATTCCGTCAACTTCAAACGTATTTTCGACGAACTTTCGGAATCTCGCGTGATGTGTTTCATCATCCTCTTCGCTTGAGATTTCCGCTTGCGTCTTTCGGAGAGTAGCTTCACTCTTCCTCGCAGTTACTTTCTGCGGTGACCTTTGGGTCTGCTGTCCTTGCAGCGTCACGTTACTTTCGTGACTTTCTTGATTTGCAGTTACTTTCTGCTGTCCCGGATGCAGAGTTGAGGCCCTTCCGTCAACCCTGTTCCCCGCAGTTACTTTCTGCGGTGACCTTTCGGTCGGCCCCGGTTGAGTCAAGTTACTTTCTTGACTCCCCGCAGTTACTTTCTGCGGTGACCTTTCGGTCAAATTCTTCCGTCCTTGCGGCAATCTTTTTAAACCCTTCTCTTGTCCTTTATGAGCCCCTTCGCTCGATTTCGAGTTACTTTCTCGAATCCTCGGATTTCTTTTCCGGGTCTTTGCGTTACTTTCGCAGCATCCCTTTCTCGCTGCGGTCCTTGCCTGCAACGGAGCACCTTGCTCCTCTATATCCGGTGGTTTCGGTTCCGGACGATCAGTAGGCTCACCGGCGCCTACTGACCTTGAACGTTTCCCTGGGCCATTCCCTGAACCGGCGCACCTTGCGCCTGTCCGGCACCATTCGCCGGGGCGAAGTTAAAACCTCCGCCTTGCTGACCGAAACCGTTCTGGTTCCCACCGACGAAGCCGCCTTGCTGCCCGCCGAAGTCGCCCTGGCCACCTTGACCGGCGAAATTGCCCTGGCCACCTTGACCGGCAAAATTCTGGCCACCTTGACCACCATTATTCCACTGGCCTCCTTGACCAGCACCGTTCCATTGGCCACCTTGACCACCACCATTCCATTGGCCACCGCCGTAATTTCCGCGATTGCCGCCGCGGCCTCTGCCTCTACCTCGGAAGCCGCCTCTAACCGGGCCATATCCGCCGTTTCCTCCGCCTTGGCCACCTTGACCGGCGAAGTTGCCTTGGCCTCCGAAGTTATCCTGGCCGCCTTGACCTCCGTTGTTCCACTGGCCACCTTGACCAGCGAAATTCCCTTGGCCGCCAAAATTGCCCTGGCCTCCTTGATTGTTGTAGTTGGCCTGGCCACCTTGACCGGCGAAGTTCCCTTGGCCACCTTGACCAGCATACCGACCGCCTTGGCGTGATTGTGGCACGTATCCGTTTGCTATTGCGTTGCGCCATCCGCCATGATTGTTACGCAGCATCAACCATTCTTCATACACGACCCGGTTGGGGTTCTGATTCCACGGTGTTCCCGCGAACGAACACGCTTGTGTGTAGTGGTTGCCGTACATGCAGTTCTGGCATGTCAGCGCGTTATTGACCACCCATCCGTCGATCATGGTGAACAGGCGCTCTACTCGCGACCCGTATCGTGGTCCTTGATTTCCTTGTCCACGGTTCGGTCGGAAGTTTCCTGATTTCCTCCGCCACCGTTGAATCCCTGGCCAGCAAAGCCCGGATTCGCCTGAGCCATTCCTTGACCACCGAGCCCTCCATTCAGGGCATTTCTCTGCACGTTTCCTTGTGGATTCTGTTTCGGCCTTGCTGCTTGCTGAGCTGATGCTTGGATCGCCGCGATCGCAGGCTTGGTTACTTCTTGGACGGCCGTTTGGATCGCCGCGATCGTCGCGTACGATACCTGACCTTCATTTCGACCGTTGCCAAAGGTCATCTCTTGAGTGCCTAACGGCGGGAATTCCGTATTGTATCCTGGCGCCTGCGCCGAGCACGACTGGTTCTGTCGCCCATTCGCGACTTCTTCGATCTGGCCCGATCGGATGATCACGCAATCATCTTGGACTCGGTTGCCTCTCGTGACCTTATACTTTTCTTCGCCAGTCGACCAGGTGCGGAAGAATTCCTTGATATCCATTGGGTTATGGAATTTCTGTGCTCGGAGTGCCTTATAAAGGTCACTGTCGTTCTTACATCCTTGAATCAGGAATCCGATAGCCTGCTTCTCAGTTATGATCCGTTTCGACTTGAAGCGCATGATCGCCTGATAGAACTGGTCAAGCGTTTCTTTGCCAGCCTCGAACTTTCTCGTCATCGCTTCTCTTAAGGCGTTGACCCCTTCGTCACGATCGCCAAAATGTTCTTTGAACTTTGTCATCCATTCATCGACGGTTAACTCTTCCGCCTCTTCCTCATCATCAATTTCTCTTTCCGCGTCAAACCATGCCTTCGCGTCCCTTTGACTGCGTTGGCGACTTCCAGCATCATTGCTGCATCCGAAAGGTCATACGTCTTCTGAGTCTCCTTGACCTGACGGATCCAACCAAGTAAAGCTTCTCGGTTGCCGTTGTAGTCGATCAACGCGGATTTCCGGGCCATGGCTCTCATGTAACCTCTGAATTCCCGTTCTTCGCGACGGAGTCGCTGTGCTTCAGCGTGGTATTCCGCGCGGTATTCTCTTTCTCGCCTCTCCTCTTCACGAGCTACCCTTTCCTGCTCGTTTTGGCGAACTCGTGGATCTTCATGATTATCTGGTTGATGGTCAGATTTGTAGACAATTGTTTCCCTCGGTCCTGTTTCTTGTTGCCGAGGATTGACCCCACCGATCGGTCCTGAGTGCCCCTTCGCCAACTCAGTATCGTCGGTGACCTTTTCAGCTTTGGCCGTGACCTTATCTTTATCATGGCCGTCGCTTCGGCCAGTCCCCGTCTTTAAGGGAGCTTGGAAATGAAAGCTACCTTCGACGGTGTGGACTTCACCGTATCTGGGGGGTGGAGATTCGATCCGTTCCGGCTGTTTTGCCTCTCCTTCCTTTTGTTTTGCCGACCGTTTTAAAGTTTTAATTTCTTCCTCTCTTTGTTTGACTGTCTGCTGCAGCTGCTTTACGGTTTCGTTTGCGTCTTTCCTGAGCTTCTCATAATCGTTGTTTGCTTCGGTGACCTTTCTCATTTGCTCGAGGATTGTACTTGCTCTGTTATCGAGAGTCTTATCGAGATCCATTTTTGCTGCTTTTAGGATCTCAGCTTCTGCTTCCAACCGTGTGATACGATCCGCTCTGTCTGCGAGGGTCCTTCCTCTCGCTTGGCACTCTTCCTCAACTACTTTCAGTTGTGTTTTTAGTTCCGTAATTTTGTCATCCTTTTCCATTACGGAAGTAGCCAATCCGACTGATTCATCGCTCAATTTGGCGATCTCTTCTTTTTGTTTTTCATTTTCTGTCTTTCCTTCTTTATTCACGACCTCTAGCACAGTGACCCGTTCGTCACACCGTTGTGCTTCCTTCAACCACTTTTTTGCTTCTTTCTTTTGGTTGTCGATTTCGTCATTGAGTCGTTTGAATTCAGTTTTTGTTATTTCAGCCAGTTCAAGCAGTTCCTTTGCTGCTTGATCTCTCTGGCTTTCCGCTTCGTTGTGTTTCCTTTTCATCTCTTTTAATTCTGTTTGTAACGTGTTGACAAGGTCTTCGCGTAATTTAAGGTCATCCTTCAGTTTCGAGATGTCAGCCGTCAAGCTGGTGACCTTTCCGGTGAACTTCGTCGCATTTGCTAGGGATTCGTCACGTTTCTTCTCGGCCTCCTTGACCTTTGACTGTAAAAGGTCACGCTCCTTTTTCAATTCTGCTATTTCCTGTGACCTTTCAGCTGCTTCCTCGGACAGACCGTAGTTTTCTGCGGTGAGTATACCTTCCGCGTCTCGATCTTCGACCATTTTCCTCAGATCCTCTGCAGCTTTTTTCTGACCTTCAAATCTGACTTTCCATTGTTGCGCTTCATCTTCGAACGTGACCTTTTCTTGTTCCATCACGCTCAATCTGGCTTCGACTTCAAAGGTTTTGTTGCGTTGGTCCCGTATCGCAGCGAAAGCTTGCGCTTCCTTTTCGTCGAGGAGTTGTTCTAGTTCCTTGACACGCTGCTTTAATCCGTTCATTACAGACGTTTTTGGTGATGGTGACCTTTGTTCCCGGTCGTCGGCTCTTCCTGACGCCGTTCCTTCAAAGGTCTCTTCTAACTTGTCCTGGAGGGTCGTTTCAAACATCCCTTTCGTTAAGTTGGCCTCCTTCATTGCCGTATGGAAAGACGTCCGTATCGTCGTTTCATCTTCATCGTCAGTGTAGAACTTTTCGCTCGACACGGGACTGGTACCATTCTCTTCCAGCTGATCGTGTAAGAACAGTGAGTTGTCCGAAAGGTCATCCTGTTTGACCTTTCCTTCGTTGATCAGCTCGTTGCTGCTGACGGCGCCACCACCTTCGGTGACCTTTTGACTGACTTCGTCACTTCCCTTCTCAACTTGATCCGCGTTTTCCTCCTTGACCTTTTCGGCCGACCGTGCCATTCCTCCGGTCTCGGCCTTCTTGTCATCTTTGTTCTGTCCATCTGAAGCCGTTCTCTCTTCGGTGACCTTTGCTTGGTCTACCGTGTTATCTCCGACATGTCGTTCGGAGCTTTTTCCATTTCCGTCACTCGAGCTTTCGTTCTGAGTTTCCCTCAGGGCCGTTTGATATGTGGCCTCTGAGCCTCTGGTGTCCTTCCTCCCAAAGGTCTTTTGAGCTCGAGTTGCTCTTTCATGTTCCACGGGCCGTGTGTACGGCTTTAGTTTCCGTTCGTAAGGGTTTTCTAACCCCTGAGACCGTTCTCTCTGATTGCTCGATGAGACCGGTTCATTACCGTCTGTGTCTTGATCCATATCTTTGGCTTCCGTTGATGATCGGATAACTTGGACGATGCTATTAATGTTTCTGACACGTTAGTTTTAGCTACGTAAGCCCCTTTACACGTAAACAGAAACAAGCGCTGTCCTAAAGGTCACCTTTTCAGCTCAACTTTACTAAAGGTCACTCTGCCTCAAAAAGTGCTAAGTTCCTTCTAAAGGTCACTTCCTTTAGTAAAATGAGATTAATTTCCCACTGTTTCAGCTTAATAGCTTACTCCGTCACGTTAAAGGTCACTTTTTCCTTCAGAACTTTTTCCGTTTAAAGGTCACGATCGATTTCGGTCAAAACGTTTAACCTGAGAATATTTTTGGATTTTACTGAGGAATCAACTCAGATTTCCTCGAGATAAACGTTATTTATTTAGCTTTCAACTTTTATTAAAGGTCATCATTCTCGTCAAAATTTATGGTTAAGGTCAACTTCTCGTCAGTCGGTTCAGAAAATTTTCTTAGCTGGTTACGTCACGATCTTGAGTGCCGCGCGGAAAGACTCCGCCTCCTAACAAAATCTCAGCTTCTAATTGGCTGATTTCCTAGCTAACTTTAGCTACGCTACTGCTCCAATCACAGTGCGAATAACCGACCAATCAGAAACGTTGTTTTTCGAATTATAAGGCAGAGTGACGTCACGACCAAAATCGAAAATTTTCGCTAGCGCGCCGTGCGCAAAAGTACCGCCTACTTTTCTGCTCAGCTCAGAACCGACAAATGAAAATTGAGGATTTTACCTATCAGCCAATTAAAAAATTAATAACGAATTTCTGACCTTTTCAATTCCAGAATCCGAAGATGGAGATCCTCCGCGTTATTCCGCGTCCTCCAGTGATCCTCCAGCGATTAAGCTGACTTCTCCTGGGCCAGCCGCTAACCCCTTCTGCTTCGTTTCAGCAGGACGCAGCGGTGCGTCGACCAAAAGACTTGCTGGCTGCGGGTCTTCTGTCGTGCCTTGACGTTAGCAACGACAGGGGCGCTCGACCTCCTTTTTGGGGGAGCGCGTATAATGTGTGTGCGCTCTACTCAGTAGAGACGCACCTGAAAACTCCACACCCGACAGCCAAAAGTGGCTTGCCCACTCGTGCCCCCCTTCGGGCTTCTGCCTCTTGCGGCGATCTTTCTCGGCGCTTGTGCCCCTCCAATCAAAGCTACTTCAGTAGCTTTGATCGCGTCAGAACAGTACAGCGTGCTCTACTCAGTAGAGACACACTGGTGCTGATCTGCTGTCGAGATCCAAACGCTCCTTTCGCCACCAAACCGTACGCGAGCCCTTTCTCGCGGAAACTTCTTCCACACCTCGTCAATTGGACGGGAAAACTCTCAGATTATCCTGGAGAAACACGACTCTTGCTACCATATGAGCGTGGACCTGGTGAAGGTTCACGCGTAGGAACAGAATTGACGGAATTCTGCCTACCAAAAAGCCTAGCAATGCTATAAAAGCGCCTACGCTATAGAAAGCGAGAAATGGCGTGACTGCTAGGAATTTATGACAAGACTAAATTCGATAGAATTTCCTCTTCGACAACTTCGCATTGCTGACTGCAGCAAGCGAGGAAAATGCGCACGTAGCCGCCACACAGTGCGGGTGCGCGCAGAACACCATGCTTTCGCCACGCGTAAGGCGGGCGCGCAATGAACACACAACAGACTGCCAAGCGAGGGTGTACGCATGTACGCCTGCGCTCACAAGTTCATATACATACTGTGAAAATATAATAAAATTTGAATTATGCATAGAAAAGATCCTGTAAGCGGTGAAACAATGTAATTTCAACAAATTATTTTTTCCGCAAATCTGTAGTTATTTCGTGCAATGCTACTGTAGAAAATTAAACAATTGCAGTACGATGGGCTTTCAACTTACCCTGTCATTCAAAGTTTTGCTCACCCACAGCCGCGCTACCATGGCCAATAACAACACCGGGATACAAGTCCGTAAAATGAACGTGGCAGCTTCGTGTAAGAAAACTGACTTGACCTTATCCTCTACAGTGGAATACGGAGTTTCTACTGATAAAAAATGGGCGATGTATGAAACTATGCAAACTAACTCCGCAAAGGTATTAGTGAGAATAAGAATGCCAAATTTATCGTTTAATGCCTTCACCATAGATCGCAAGCACCGGTGATATTGCTGCAGATCTTTAACGGTTGCCACGAGTTTTTCCGATCCAAATGTGCCGGATGTGATATGGGAATTTAGAGATTCAGCAGCTCTGGTATTTAACGCTAAAAATCCTGCTTGCAGCTGATAGCATGCAACAATTATCAGCGCATTAGTGGTACTCCACAACAGAAATGAACACATTAGTCCACAAATATAGATGACAACTTGACCCATAAATGCGATCTCTCCCGGAAGAACATCCACCCGTTGCAGCGAGCTCCAGCTTAAAAACCCGGGCACAATTGTATTGACTTCGTTAACATTATCAGCATTGGCGCAGTACACCGAATATCCCAAATATGCGACATAAATAAGTATGAACGTTATAACGCCAATTAGGATCCAATTAAGCTTGCAGTAGAACGACGCGGTAAAAATATCTTGAACAGTCACCTTTGCGTTGATTGACGCTCCATAAGATGTCTCTTTTGCCCGGTGCAATAACAAAACGTAGATTGCAAGCAAAGCATGGATGTTGAACAGGATTCGGTAAGCCAAAACCAGCACTGCATGACCTTCCAGGTCTTTTATATTCCCCGCGTAGGAGCGATATAGTATGTCAAGATCTATTAAGAAAAAATACCCAAAGAGTGCAAAAAGCATCCAGTGAAAAACTTTTGTGAAATACGAAATACAAGTCTCGACACTTTGTTTCGGATGAAGTTTGTCAGTTTGCGCCGTTTGTTGAACGTCAACGGATTTATCGAAATCCAGAGACCGCTGATTCGGACAGCAATGCGTCGACCAACCAATTATTCGCCACAACAGCCTTGCCAACACCGAATTAACTTCCTGGCTTGATTTAAGATCAGCAGGTTTATCATTCTTGTCCCATACTGGCATTATTAGAACTGTCATTTCATAAAGCCGAAGCAAAACTATGTGCTAAACGCTACGCAAGGGGCACTTTTAGTCCCTTTTTTTCGTGTGCTCTGTAGTTATCAACAAAAACCGGCAGTCAGTACGCGAAATAATACACTGCGGGAACCCGTAATGACTAAGTCGGTAAAATTTTAGCCATTTAGTTTTATTCAAGATACACGCTTAGAATGCTATTGTTACCGATACTGCATACTGTTTGGTCACTTTCAGGTTAGTGAGGATGTACTGTAATCTACTATACTTCGAAGTACTGCTTTTCATCTACACGTACATCTGCAAACAAAGTGCTTTTAGTAGCTTTAGAACTGAAATTTGAGAAAAGCTGAGCTGTCATATCTTGTGGTTCAAGTGCTATTTGCTTTTTGACATGCTGGATACGGAATATCCATACTTTATTCCATAATTATTTTTCCTAGAAGGGTAGCGCAGTCACACCGCCGTGTCATTTAACAAGGCATACACTGCATATCGTACGAGTTCTTGTGCTGATCGTGTCATCCTGGATTCAGGATACCGGATTTCTAACTTTATTGTTAATGCATTTTCCTTAACCCAGAATACATACTGTACACACCATCGCCGCGTCTTATCATTGCAAAATTCCGATCAGTTGTTTTTGGTTTCTGTTTATGTATACATAGGTTGTTGCATAATACGCGTTGGTGGTTTACAATTTGGAATAACATGTAGCAGCCGGTAAAAGCGGGTCGTCATGCGCAGAGACAGTCACCGGTTGCACATTTCTTTCCTGTTGGGCAAGCTGAGCATTTGGTTGACGAATCGGCAGACTGCCATGGGCAGTTCAAGTTTCCACCATTTCCGCTAAAATAAGTAGCTTTTAGGTAAAATAGTTTTGAGCAAAAACATGTTTTATTTTTTTACTGTCACAAATGTACTTACGGAGGGCAGTAATTGCAGACATAAGTCTTTACTGGGGCTTTCAGTGTCAAACCATTAACGGTAATATCAGTTGGGCATTCGTAGTATCCACACCCTACTTTCGCCGTGTCGGCCCACATTAACTGAAGACAAAATCTGTTTTAGCGGCAAACGGGATCATCCAACAGCTTTATGTTTAGCAAACATTAACGGGGCGGGGAACTTTTACAAGTTCTAAGCTGCACCCTACTAGCACATTGTCCATAATTCACAATAATAATACCAATATGTGTACCGTACTTGAGTGTAGTGTCCCACTTTGGAAAAAACGTTGTTTGCGCTGCAATATGTGAAATCTTTCACTTCGTCATACCATCCTTTAACAGCGTCGGTCCACGAATTATAACCCCAGGCAATGTTCTGACCGCAACCGCCTGAATAATCTATAAACGTTGACTTTTGAGACTCAATATACGTCGCACTCGTAATTATAATGAGCTATTTTATTACACTACTTAATTATGCATCACACATATTGTATTTGAATGCCGTAATTATCGAAGATTTAGAGCCCCAGGGTTACCAATATTTCAAACGCCTCACGGGGTGGGTGTAATTTCGGGGTGGCTTCAATTTTTCAAACGAACTTTTGGGCATTGGCTAATATGGACTATATAGCATTTAATGAAGCCCATTGGTTTATAGAGGGCGTTCATAATTTTCAAATGACCTTAAGGCTTGTATAATTGTATTGTATTGTGGGTCAAATCCTCTTTCGATCATTACGGTACATGTAGATCGGAAAGTGCTCTCGCTTATTCGGGGAACTCCATGACTGAGAAAAAGGTACGTGTACTTAACATTAGCTATTGTGAATGTATCACACTTTCATGCAGAGTTTGAGCTCAAACTCTAGGATGTACATACTGTAATTAGCAATTTACTGCACGTTGAACACCTGTAATATCTTGCGGCAGGCGCAAGATATTATTTGTCAGATTGGAAAAAGTGCATCTGTATGTCTTAATGCGTAACCAAGATTCTCATTCTGCTTGTTAGGTCCAGTGTGATTACTTAATCCTGAAACAAGCGTACCTGGTACTTTACGTGCATTCGCTTGTGATACACCATTCGTCACAAAGTCATGACCCGTCGGACAGCTTGCGGCCCATGTTTGAGCATTACTGGCAGCACAGGACTCCCATGCAAGTTTCTGCATATTTTTGGCAACAACAGTTCGCCGATAGTTATTATGCGCATTTAAAATGTTGAGGATGTCAGTATTCGACAGGGGTGACGCCTTTACAGGGTAAGCAATATTTCCAGTGGCGCATGGAGTTGGGGGGGTGGTTGTTTGGGAGGTACAGGTAGCGCCGGTGCAAGTATTGCTAAATCCCATTGGAAGAGCACTGTCTGAGTTTGCGGGGCAACCTGCAGGCGCAGTAGTGGTGGTAGTTGTAGTGGTGGTGGTGGTCGGAGTCGTGGTTGCCGGAGTCGTGGTTGTCGAAGTTGTGGTCGTGGTGGTCGAAGTAGTTGTCTCGCTGTTTGTTAAACTGGCAATGGCAACACACTGACCGCCAACTGTCGTGCTAATTGACGAATCGCAAATGCACTTGAAATTCTGGCATATGGACAAAGAATCCTTACAACGCCTTCCGTTACCGGCACACGGACATCCAAGTGCCGCATTAGACGTGGCGCCCATGCAGCTGTAGATAAATGCCAGGAGACTTTGCTCAGCGGAAGCAGTGTTTACAACTCCATTTGAGGACGATGATGAGCTTCCAAAGGGACGTGCTCCGAATCCATCAGACTGCCATATTGCTGCACTAATTATAATGAAAATGCATCGTAGGTAACGGCCATTCAAAGTTTTCCAGGTTGCTAAAAAGGTCATCTTCTGTACGAATAGCTGTAACGAGAACGTGAGATTGAATTTGCCGTTAGGAGCAGATAACTGGTGCATTAGATTTGCTGAAGACCTTGATAAGAAGCGGTATGATAAAAATAAGCGCTGTGACGGGGAGAAGAACTACTGCTTGGTTTTACCGCTAAATCTTGCAGATGCACTGGTGCGCGTGTGCCACGCAGTAAATCGCATCAGATGCCACACATCACTGCTGGTTGATGATCTTTTATATTATATTTTGTTATACTCGTACTGCAAACTAATTCATTATGCTGTTAGTTCGTGGAGAAATAACAGGCAAAACCACAGCTGTAGTACAAGTATTTCTTCCGGTCATTGAGCTGCATTGCTTAAGACAGTCAAAATCAATCTTCTGGCGTTTTGAAGTAAGTACTTTACAGAAGACTAATTAATCTGTGTTGAACTATGCCGTCACAGATAAATAAATTATAAAGCAGTTAAACGAAATGAAGTTTGTCAGTTGTATTAGCTGCTAGTTTGCTACGTACGGATTTGTGTAAGCACGCTCATTAAAATGAATATCACCACCTACGTAAGTAATGCTAGATGCGACATACTTTTTATTTGCACCGGCATGACGTCGCGCAGCTGTAATCAGTACATTATTACAAAATTATTAATATATAACACACAATCAGGATGCGTCCGTTTCATAAAAAATCAATGCAGCGCTCTCTGTACGACAGTGAACGAGGTAGGTTACGAAAACGTATCTCTTGCTTGATTATAGTTTCGAAGTGGGGATGCTGACTGATGGTGAGACCACCCTTAAAGCAATACAGCTTTACACAATGTTTACATAAGCTAGCCACAGGTAGCCAGTGTTCGGTGATAGATTGATGTTTCTTCCGCAATTTGTAACTTACGATCAATTCAAAAACATAAGAATGTGACAACACGAAACATGTTAATTAATAAAGGTATAAATAATAACGGTTGCTCACATAACAGGTTTAATTAAATAGAAAATAGCGTCACTTTCATATTGCCGATATTCTTACTTATCGTTAGAAAAACACAATTATAAGTAAGCTTTCATCGACATTGCAGCAAAATCACCCTACCGTACTTAGGTAGAATTTGTGTAACATGGTGTTTTAACTTGCCAATGCACCTAGACCGGTTTCAAAACGAAAAAATTCCCATTTTTGAAAAAAGGTACTATCCTAAAGTAAGTACGCGCGGCACAAATAAAGGTTTCTAATTGTTTTGGTTTCGACGCAGCTGTAGATTCTTTCAGCTGTCGAGTACGGTGATCCGTGCCTCTGATGCCAATGTGCAACACAGTCGTATAAAAGGCTTTTTTTACAAACAAACAGATAGCATACTTCGCACGAATTTTCGAAACTGTTTAGTTTTGGAACGCTGGTACGACCAACTGCATCCAGGCGTCGGTTACGTTGGTACTCGAGAGCTGCATAAGTATACCTTGCAGCGGTGCTTGCAAAATTAAAATAAAACTACGGATAATAAATATTTTACTGCAATGCACTGCAGTAGGTGATAATATATGCAGATATAATGTTCTAAACTTTTATTTTTCTGTTTGGCCGCACCCATTTGTTTGATCACAGCAGAATGAAAAATATTTCTTTAAAGATACTACGACAATATGTTACATTTCTGCAATAAAGACGAATTCATTAAGTTCGGAGTGGTCTGTGTCCTGGTTAATCGTTCACTGCAGTGTACCACATGTACACAGCGTACGGAAACTGGGTATGTCTGCAACTGTTCATGCTTACAACGGAGCACGCACTTTCCATAAATAATTTAGAAAACAGTCTGTACTCTGTACCAATTTATTTCGATGTTTATTTCGATGTGCTAGCAACTATGGTTATAATTATAAAGCAGTTTAGATGAAGATATAACCATGCTATTCGCATAATTATGTATACAACACATTGGGTACGAACTACCACACTACAAACACACTCGTATTTTGTTAGCTAAGTACTTCTACTGGTGATGGCACGTTTTCTGTCGGCAGTGGCATGACGTCGTGCACGTCTGGTCTAGAGCGCTTTTGTGCACGTCAACATTTATGTGATTAAAAAGAAAAGAAAACCAGCACAACGTTTTTGAAAAGAAACAGCAGTCGTCACCGTTCTGGTTGCAGAAACGTATCTCAGGCATACTCGTATAGTCGTATCTGAACTTGGATTTTCTAATACGAGTAAGAAGCCAGCCGGTGACTAAGGAAGGGGGGTGAGAGATGTTTTTAGCATGCCAGTAAATGCACTTTTATAAAATGCACCTACTGAAAATTTTGCGTAGACGGTTTTGGAAACTAAACTTTTGTTAACCATGACAGTGGCAGGAGGGAATGGTGTAATGTTCATGGCATAAACAGCCCTTAAACATGCATCTCAAAATACTTAAGTAGCTTAAAAATTCCATAACATCTAGCATCAAAAAATAATAAAATAGCCCCTAAATTTTAAGAAAATCCGAAGCGCCTTATCATTCGAAAATCCTCTAAACAGAAATTTGAAATAAATTAATTAGCCGTGCACGCAGCTAACGCCCCTGCATAAATCCCCTGCCCGCAGCTGACACCCGTGCGGACACCAAACGCTCACCCGTGCACCCAGCCAACACAACGCCCGTGTTTACCCGTGTACGCAGCCATAATGTAAAAGATTAGCTTTCTTTTATTAAGCTTCACATACTTGTATAGATACAAGTACATACAAGTACAAGTACTAAAACAACAGAGTACTAAATCTAATGTAAAAGTATACCTCTGTGGCGTAGTGCAGTGCCACTGATGTCACGATAATGTGTTGTCCTTTAGTGACCTTTGTGTTTTGCCCATCTAGCATGGCAACTGCGATAGCAGTATGCCCTTCTTGTCTTGTTGACAACAAACAGTGGGTTGTTTGCGCTCTTAGTGGCGGTTCATGGTAAATGTATTATGCCGCCACCTCAAGTCGTGACAACCTCGAAGTTAGCCAAGCATGTTTTCTACTGTTAGCTTTCTCGACGATTTCAGGGGCTGCTCCGGCCGTTTTAGTGGTGCAGTTGCTATACGTGCTGGCCAAGGTATCGACGCGGGTAACATCGAATGGCTTCCCATATGGTCCCAGGGGATCAACGTACGTGACGAAGTCTGGACGTTTCCTCCCGGCCGTTGACAGGCCCTTTGGCTCCGTTCTGGAAGGGAATTTTTAAGCCCCGGAGATATTCAGCGTAAGTCTATCGTGCCTGGATAACGACCGGACGAACGCTTAAGCTTACAGCGGAGGCCGTGTCTACCTAGCTCTCAGTTCGTCGGCCTGAGAGTCACAAGCGCAGCTATGCGGTGTCACCTCGGGCAGTTATTCGAACAGCGACGCTGATCTGGAATGCGGTATCTTCCAGCAAATTTCCCAAACAGGCTGCAGGAAGGGCGGGCAACCAGGCTCCATATTCCGGAGTCGACATTGTCTTGAGGTGTGCCACTTCCTCCGGAAAGACGCGTACGTACGCTGGATAGTCTTGTATGTAAAGCCACGCAGACTGGAGTGCCCGCTTTCTGAACTTGTCGAACAGTTTCCGGGAGCGCATCCGCTGCATTACTGAGCTTGGTCCAAGGCTCCAAGCCTGCATCGCGGCGGTCGCGTCGGTTGGTGCGACTGCGGGACATAAGTGAGGAAGTCGGTGCCCATGACTCCTTATTAAACACGGTATGCGTAGCATTGCTATACTTTGTACGTACGTCGTAGTTCATGTACGGTTTACCTGTTATTATCTAAACCTTTTGATCGCTAATTTCATCAGCGATTCTGCTGGTATTGATTAGTCTGAATCTGACCAGGGACGCGTCACCGGCTCCCCTCTCAGAAAATTTTTGTTTTTTGCAAGATGACAGAGTAACAATAGGGTACTCCTAAAAAAATAGTTTCATCTGCTTTGATCGACAGAGAGTGGCCGAACAAAATTAAAAACTTAAAGGTAACGCTATGCTACAGCCAATGCATTGCTTCGCAAGTGAGCCAGTTCTGATAGACTGATGCGCTATATCGTACAAAGCATACCGATGTGACTGTGTGTTCAATATTCTTGTTAACTCGCTTTTGTTCCCGATTCCCGAAGCTGGTTTGTACTTTGTAAATGATATAAGTTAATTTATTTTTTAAGGGTGAATATGCAGGTACTCGTACTTCCATTTCTGCTTGCGCTATCAGTGTTTAGCACAAATACTGCTAGCACGAAAACCGATCTATCTCTATAAAAATAATTACGGAGCATTTACAGTACAAGCTCGTTTCAGAAATGGGTAAGAGAAAGTAAGGTCGCAAAAGCCTGAGACAAAAGCGCACGAAGCCATATGAGTCGTACTAAATCGTATAAGACTATAAGTACTTGTGTAGGAAGTAATGCATTGGCTATAACATAGCATAACTTTTTAATTTTGTTTGCCCCTCCCTGTTGACCATAGTAGATGAAACTATTTTTTTAGGATTAGTCTATTGTTACTTTGTCATCTTGCAAAAATAAAATTTTAATGAGAAGGGAGCCGGTGACGCGTCCGTGGTGAGTTGGGCCTTGGTCTAGGCAGATCTGTGCGCAGTGTGTGCAGATTTGATAGTGTTCGCTGCAGAGCCTGTATGCAGTGTGTTTGCAGTCTTCGGATTATGATTAAAGATTATGAGATCCTGAGTGGCCTTCTTGTGGCGAAAGCATTAATGTTTACCTTCAGGAAGTCACGGTTTCAGTCTGGATAACAACATCATCCAGATATTGGTTGTGAGCGTATGAGTTAGGAGCAGATCACCGTTCAGAACAGATATTCCCGCTCTACCGACTTTGCTTGGTTGGTCATGTAGTACGGTAAGTCGTAGTGGGACTTCCGTATAGCATGTTACCTTTAACAAAAATTTGTACTAGCGGCAGCTCAACCGGGTAATTCTAGTTAATGGTACTCGCTCTTGTAGTGGCTGTGGTAGTGGTCTAAGTGGTGCTGGTAGTGGCACTGGTGGTGGTAATGGTAAGCATAGGGGTGATACTGGTACTGTTGGTGGCAACGGGACTAGTAGCGGATCTGGTGGTGCCATTCTGGTGGTGGTTCACAATTTTCTCAGATTTCTTAGTTTTGTTTAGTTTCTTGGCCTTAGTTTTTTTTTTGGCTTTCTTAGCTTTCGTATGTTTTCTCAGGATTTGTTATACTGTTTCTTAGGTCAGTTCTTAGATTTTCTTGAGAAATTAACCAAGTACTTAAGAAAACCCAGAAATAACCCATTCGAAAAACACACAAAAAATCAATAGAACTAGAAGTATGAAAATTGTATAGGTACAGTACCAACCACCATAACCGCCACAAGTCCCATTACCACCACAGCAGGAGTACCACTACGCTTACCGCTACCAGCAGCAGTACCACCACCAGCACCAGTACCACAACAAGATCCAGTACCATTAACTAGAATACCCCAGCTCAACGTAAGCCCTACTCTAGCTAGTATACTTCTACAGTATGGTTATTTTACATACCAGGTAATTACAAATTAAAACTTATTCAGCCTGCTCTTATCCAAATATTAATTAATTTTGTTCTTCCGTTTTTAGTGTGCATTCTTAACGCATTTTAACAACAACAACAGTCATAACGATTCCAAAAACATGGTCGTTGTCTCAAAAACTCTTTTACTTCAAAAAAAAGTTTTCTAAGTTGTAGCACATAGGCAGTCGCCCTGGTCACAAGCGCTTCCTTTCATGCATGAGGCACCACACTGGTTTGATGTTGCTGCTCCTGGCGTCGTCGCTGTTTTGTATGGACACCATTCGGAGTTAGCTACTCCATCGGTGTGAACGTTGCCTCTGTATAAACAGAATACTAACTACTCTGTATTTATTAGGCACTGTGTGGCTCGCATAGATATATAGCGAAAGCAAAGAAATCGAGCTCAAAACTTTTAAGCGACGTGTGCGACAGTATAATGAGAAGAAGCTTTGAAATTTAAACTGTAAAGTGAACAATTATAACAGTCTGAATTCTGTACAAGGTAAGCTAAAAACATGTAATTTTATACGTATGTGTATAACCTAATATGAATATAATAACACGTAAGGCTACACGGCAGCCGTGTATTGAGGCTGTTAAATAAAAACGTGTTCCCAGTTTCCGAAAATTTTGCTCTATTTTCTCTAAAAGCCCCTCTACGTCATAATATAGTTTTGTTGTAAGGATTGTTAAATCAGTCTCACCCTGTACAATAATTGCAGACGAAGACATTAACAGGAGCAGGGAGATTTAGCCCATTTATTGTCGAACAGCCTGATTTCATGCCGCATCCGATAAGTGTTGTGTCCGCCCACATTACCTAAACATAAAAATCGTAATTTTTGTCTGTGGCAGAAATGTTTGACGAAAAAAATTGTAGGGTTCCGACTTACTTGAGTGTAATGTCCGACGTCCTTTCCCGTATTGTCGGCGCAATAAGAGAAAATATTGACTTCGTTGTACCATTCTTTTATAGCAGCCGTCCAGGTGGCAGGTGAACCACTATTCCAGAAGATATTCTGACCACAGTAAGGAAATTCTAAAATATCATTAAACATTAAAGTGTACAACTACATACATCAGTGACAATCCAGAAAAATAATGTCTTGTTTACTTCATTTAAATGCCATTATTTTTCATTGATTTTGATGCGTTACTGCACTGACACCACATTTATTTGATTCTTGCATTCAATGCACTGCACTTATTTGATGCTCAGTTGTACGAGTAACTGTGTAAAACTGCAAAACAAGTATAAGCGATTCAGTTCTAAGGAATATAATATATATATATAATATATATAATATATATATATGATTAGTATATTATACTAATCAGTTACGGAATATATACAAAAACCTATAAGTGTAACCACAAAGACAATGTAACAATAAAGACTTGTTTTGAAGATTGGTTTTGTACAATATCAGTTAGTGGAAAAGCTACATAGGTGATAGGTGCACGCGACAAATCATGAAAATATATGTTTTAGCGTACCAGGGATATGCCGATCGCTTAATCTGTCATGATCCGAAGGGCATGTGTCGGCCCAGTGCTGTGCATTGCTCGCTGCACAGTCGCTCCAGTCCAGTTTGTTCATACCTTGTGCGGCCACTGACCTACGATAATTGTTATGCACATTAAGTATTTCCAGGATAGTAGTGCCGGCAGGGACTGGTGTCGTTAGAGGAACATAAGCTATTTCAGTAACTGTAGAAGCGGTGCATTTGGTGGCAGCGCTGGTGGAAAGGGCAGTGTCGGATTTGTTTGAACAGCCCGCAGCGAAGGCTGCCGTAGTCGTAGTACTAGTGACAGAGGTTGTTGATGTGGTTATTGTCGTTGGTGTTGTGTCGGTGTTAGTCAGACTAGCAATGGCAACACATTGGCCATTAACTGTATTGCTAATCGATGGATCACAGATGCATTTGAAATTTTGGCAGATGGACAGAAAATTCTTGCATCGCTTTCCGTTACCGGCACAAGGACATCCCAGGGCTGCATTAGATGTAGCACCCATGCATCTGTAAATAAAGGCAAGCAGGCTTTGCTCCGACGATGTCACTTCTGAAGACGAAGATGGGCTCGAGCTTCCAAATGATCGTGCTCCAAAACCGGCAGCCTGCCAAATTGCGACATTTATCATAAGAGCATAGAGTTTCAATTTCAGTATTGGACACATAGTGGACGACCGAACGAGATTTCTGGGTCGTGAGAGTTTGCAAAAAACCAAAAGGGCATAATTTTTTGGTTCGATTGTGGGAACAACAGAGCATTTATCAACCGATAATAAGCAGCTAAACGATTATATCGCCGCTATCCATTTCAATTAAATTGTTTAGTGAAGCCAATTACTACGACGACGAGTCTTACAACAAAAATGTAACTGTACCATTGTCACTACTGCAATTACTGTTTTCAAAGAATATTTACACATATATACGAGTATATATGTATTTATATACGGCACAAGCACCTACCAAGCTCTTACTGCAGTCAGACCAGATTTATGTGCAATATAAAGAAATTCATTTCAGCCTTCTGTACATAAAAATACCGCCATTGCATGGTGCATGTGCCGTATTACGAATTGCATGCTTACCCTAGCCTAGTATGCGTTCCTGTATTTTAGGTAATTGGTATGAGAACTGTCGGTACGGATTTATTTCGATGGTTAACTATGCCGCCAAATATACTGATTTATAATTATATAAAACAATTAAGATAAAGATGCGACCTAGAGCGTATCATATTTACGTCGGTACAGTAGTGTATATTGCTGCACCAACATAGAGCTCATTATTGTAACGTAAGTTATTGAATTGACATGTTTTCGAACGATAGTGATACATAGTCAAAACACTGTCGGATACCTCAAATCTGTGTACTCTAATTCATAAGAAAACCAGCACAACGTTTCGAAAAAACAGCAGGTGCCACCGCTTTAGCTGCAGAAACGTATCTCAAGCATAGTTGATGATTAGTTGCGAAGATGGGTGGTCATTTGGGGCAAGCATAAACCAATACAGAATTTCCATTATTCATTCACGCGAAACCGGTGTTTGTGGTAAGATTGATGGACACATCCGGCAATTTCCAGCATATTATCAAGTCCAAAAATGGCGAAGAAGGCACGACCTGCCAACAGACAATTATCATCACGTAGCTCCATTACCTAACAATTGTTAGCTACGTCATTTGTTTTGTATAATTCTGTTCATATCAGTATTACGTAAGTGGATCAATACGCGAGTAATGGACGGAACCGGTAAATGACAGTCATCGACATGTCAATCCTGCTGCTGCGCTTTTTCAATGAACATATGTACTTCTATAATTACTAATTGGTGCATACTGCATACCGCTGGTCCGCTGGACAACGTTAAAGCGAGCGTTGATCGGACGAAAAATCGTTCTGCACAGCCGGTTTTGTCTACTACGGCAAATTATCTATTCGAAACTCAAACGAAATCCAAAATTGTGAATTAAAACAAAACAGCCTGAAGATAACCCGTAGAATCGCATCACACGTATAGGACCGCACATGCAGTACAAGTAAAGTTCACATACTTCATTAAGGTAATGCTTTGTACAAAACCTATAAAATTAATTTATATCAATATACAGATATGACAGGAATAATGGAAAGGTGACCGCCCGTACCATGCAAGATTGGCATGCAGTCACAAGCTATCCACATTGCGCAAGTGCAACACAGTTACACAGCATTTAATAAGTGGCTAGAAAAAACCATATTTTGCCAGATATTTAGTAGTTAAGCAACCTTATTACATGTACGATAAAGAAATTTATTAAAGTTACAAGAAATAAAAAATCTGGTGTATTGGATAGCTGGAAAACTAACCTGAAATCTAAAAGACAGGAGGCGCGTACGGTCACTTTGATGACGTCATATCTATATATTGAGAGAATGACTGGCAGCTTCTATTATCTGTACTTAACAATGCTTAGAGGTGCTTTTATCCATACACTTCTCCAGTAAATCTTGACCATTAAAATACTCCCCACCCGCAGAAATCATCTTATTGTACAAAACTAAACTATAAACCCGAAACGAAGTCTCTCACAAAAAACTCCATAATAAAACACAAAATCTGAGCAAAGGAAAAATCAAAATGTCGTCGTCCGCACCGATTCGTCTCTACTGGCGGCATCCACTTCGTCCCCCGTGACAGGCAACCCAATTTCTTTCATCTCCGCTTTGGGATTATCCTGTATGATGAAATTCTGCTTAAATTTAGAGTTCGTATCAGCGCGCTGCTTTTGGAAACGGGAGAACAGCCGCACTGAGCCACTCTCCTTCGTGCCTTCATTTCCACCAAACATATTCAGACCGGAAGTGATCAGATGGCCGAAACCGCTTTCGTGCGCGAAAGCGTAGCCACTGCGCTTGAAGCGGCTGCCGCGTAAACGACTGCTGCGGCGGAGGTAGCTGGGTCGCTGGACTAACTGGATGGTCCTCTGCCGGCGCGATGCGTTCTTCTGGCGCATCCGAATGCGATCGGATAAGCTCGGATTCACGTCAAGCTTGTAAAACCTGGACAACAAACTTCCACTTCCAGTAAATTCAAAAAATTAATTGCTCACATTGAACGTACTCGACATTTATATGCCGTTACTACCGTAATAGTTTGTATTGTACTTCATACTTTGTACAAGTTCCGTAAACAAAGTTCCGATATACAGTGTCGCTCAATTGTCAGTAAACGCGTACAATTCAAAGAAGTACGTACATTAATTAAATTTAAAATAAATACAGTCAAATTAAGAACTTAATATATGCATTAAACTATAAACGCAAATTTAGTCTACGTATGTACAGTCAAACGAAGAGTCCACAAAACTTCTGGCTTCTACGTACCTGGCCAACACAATGGGCACGGTGAGAACAATCACGGTAAGCACCAACGTGAACCAAAACGAAGGGTTCAAGAAGACTTTCAAATCGGTGCCATAATACGCGGATAAAACCGGGAACTGGTGGATGGCCATTGTGGCCGCGAAATAAACAAGCAGACTGCCGAAAACAAAAGCATAGTTTATCCAGGCCCAAAAAGCCGTATCCAGTGCAACCTACAAGTATCGCCAACGTCAGAATGTAACAGGACTGTCACATCTCCATCGCTTTTATTCTTACATCGGCAGTGACTGTAACGAATAAGATGGTTCCCAATGCCGTTTGGAACGCCTGCATCCCATGGAGATCTTCGACATAATAATGCATTGCTCCGTATGTTGCATAAAATACTACTAAGGAAGTGGCAAATCCATGAATTACACTCTAAAACATCATCATAAGACAATTTATTTCGTACTGCAAAGATTACTCTGTGAATTCCTCCGTCTTGAAAATACCTTAAAAAACTGCCAAGTATTAAAGAGCACATTCCGGTGTCCTGGAGTATATAATTTGGGGAAATCAATACTGTTTACATCGTTTACATCCTGATCAAAAATGGCGACTCCAACAATGGGCGTAGCCGTGTATAACAGATTATAAAATGTGATGTATAACGGATCATATGCAACCTAAAACAAATACATATACAGTTACACCGATATGAATATCTTGGGGCAGATGAGTTTTGTCTTACCTGAGCAGAAAATCCGCAGAACATATCGTACCAGAAATGGCACAGCGTGAATGCAAAGTTCTTGTAGAAAAAGTAGCGTAAAAATTTAGCCATTCGATAATATGACCATCTGCCGTGGACAAGCAATAACCGCTTCAAAAACCGGAATTGACCGATGGAATAATCACTAGCCAGCACAGCCTGCATGCCTTCTTGTCCACTAATACCAATGCCAATATGTGCAGCTACAAACAAAAAACAAAAAAAAAACATTTCAAACATGAAATATAGAAAAAGCTGTCTAACAATCGTAAAAATAACGAGTATTTATTAAAGGCTTATATAAACGAAACATAAAAAGTACCAACAAATATACTAAAAAAGTATAACATAACGTTATCGTATTTTAAAAAAGCCGAAAACGAAAAACAGCGGTCAGAATCAGGCGGCAGGCGTCATAAACAACAAACAATGGTAGGCCAGCAAACAAGAGCGAGATACTAATATATCACAGTTATAAATTAATTATTTACCTTTGATCATGCTGACATCATTTGCACCATCTCCAATAGCCAACGTGATGGCTTGCTTCCTTCTTTTTACCAGTTCGACAACCAGAGCTTTTTGGAGGGGGGTCACTCGACAGCATATCACAGCGGAGCAGAGGCAAGCGATTTTTAGAAAGATCTCTTCCAGCTCCGCTTCCAAAGCAAAAGCCTACACAAGAAGCATGTTACCAGTTTTATCGGCACTCCAGTTCTAAACGGATGTCTTACCAAACTTTTGCCTTGGATAACGAGAGCATAGGTTTTTCCGGTTGGTTTCGGGTCATCCAGTGTGTCGCCACCGGACTTCTTCCGCGGCCGGTTTCCGCCGTTTTTCTCAGCTTTATCATCGGCGCCTTCAAAGCGTACGATTGTTTCGCGCGGCTGGAATACTTCGTTGGAAGATGGGTTCCAAACCGGCGCATTATCCGGATGTGAAAGCTCTTCGTATGCTTTCTGAAAGATGGCAGTGAAACATGGATATTCTTGAAATACCATACTTGATAATTAATTTTAAGATTTTCGGAATTTTTTTAATTGTTTTTTTAATTTAGTATAACAATAAAAAATCATAAAGCTGGCATGCCAAAGTGCATTGAAATATTTGCCGTTATAGTGCACAGATTTGCCGTTATACGCCGTACAACTGTTCGCTAAATACAGTAGTTAACGATTCGTTGGATTTCCGGTTTTAAGCATCAGTAAATGCTGACCTCAAGCTGCTGTTTCACACCCTCTTTTTCTTCAGCATCAATAACAAAGACCTCTTCCATTTCTTCGGTTAATAAGCGGCATGAATAGCCAATGTTTATTGCGGTTTCCAACTTATCACCGGTCAAAACCCATATCTTGATATCTGCCAATGCCAGGCTGGCAATGGCATCCGGTACGCCATCTTGTAGTTTATCTTCGATGGCCGTTGCGCCGATTAAATTCAGGTCGGTCTCGATTTCCTCTGCCACTTCGTCCATTTTATCATCACGGTCGTCCATCGACAACTTGGCTTCTTCGTACTTCTTCCGCCAGCTGTCAAACTGATCCTGAGGAATTTCTTTCCAAGCTAAACGCCCATGAAACATGTACCGTAAAAGATGACGTAATGATATTAGATACCTTTTGCATTATTCATATTTTTACAACCTACGGGTAGGTGAGCACTAGACACGCGATAAAAATGGGTGCGGCAACATAAAAGTTCTGGTCACCTGTGCTCTAGTTACAAATATTTATATGCTGACACATTCGATAAAAGTGGCACTGTAAACGCTGCTGAATTTTTTTTCGGTAGTTCTTGGCATGAACAGTAAAAAACGCGCACACAAGATCAACGCAGAATCAGCACCCAGTGAAAATTATCTGTCACTCTTTTTCTTTCACATCATTTTTATTTTTATCAATGATAATTTTAATAATATTAATTTTTACCGCATCCCTCTGGAGTAAACCATACCTAAGCACAGCGTTCGAAGCCCTTCCCCGGCAAACTGTTCCAAATGGTCGTTCGTGACCTCCGCCAACTGCTCATTCTCCTCCGTCTTCGCCAAACGCTCCATAATCACCGAATCCGCACCTTTACAATACAGTACAATTTTTCCGTCCTTTTCCAGAATTACCGACATCCTCTTGCGCACATTATTAAAATCAATAATCTCCAACAGTCGAAATTCTAACTGATCGTCACCGATTTGCACCCGCACCTTATCGGGTGTCCGGTACAGAAATACATAACCGAAATTCCTGGCGGCACTGACCAGTGCGCCTTCATCGGGCGACTGCGCTTGGTAGACTAATTTGCCGTGTTTCTCATCCGGCATCACGGTGTGGCATAAGGATAATATCCGAAAAAATAAATCACAATCAGGATCTTTGTTTTCGATATCGGTCAACAGTTTGGGATCAAAGAAGCGGAAAGCGGGATCGGCCAGGGGATTTTTGGAGAAGTCGGTTAACAGTGTACCTTCGTCCGGTTCGACGATTTCTCCCTGATCATCCAGCACATCACCGTAACGCCGGCCGTTTATGGAGCACTTGTTGAATGTCATTATATTCTGCATAAAACGCATGTGCGAAAGCGTCAGTCATAGTGTCACGTTAATAAATATAAAACATATTCAACCGTGAAATTATTACTATTGACAAATAATACATTCGGTCGGTAATTTTGCATCACCGCACCTGCGTTAAAGTGCCGGTTTTATCGCTGAATATGTATTCGATTTGGCCTAGCTGTTCCGTTAAGGTGGTGGTGCGTGCTTGCGAACTGCTGCCATTGTGCATCATTTCATGATCCCAGTTGATCAGTACACTGTGGCAGAGGCGCACAATTTCCACACTGAAAACCAAAAAATAACAATATCAAACCAAAAAAGAACAAAACACAGCAGAAAAGGTATAACATGTCTTTAGTAAAAATAATTTTACCCACCCTTTATAAGACACATCGAGTGTCTCAATTTTTTATTTTTTCAAAAACAAGATAGTTCAATATTTTTTCGCACTTACTGGTTAGGTATTTTTCATGTTTAGTGAACATCATAATAACGAACTATTTGTATGATCATCGGTCAGATACATTGATAGCCAATACACTACGTTGTTGCTTCAACCACACAGGGCTTGATCACCATGCTTTTGACATTAATTGGATTTGCAAACGCGTACTAACGAACATAGTCCCGAAAAATCATAAAGCAAATAAAAAACATTACGAATGTAAGGAGAAATTTCTTCCCAAGTTTTGTCATTATTTCATTGCGCAAAAATTTCTGATTGCAAACAGTACTAAATTATGTACAAAGCAATCATTTCCAAAATTACTTTTACTTGGTATACAGCACACAATGTAAATAATTAAAATCAAACTCAACTACTTTATTCAGCAGCTACATATCTGAAAACGTATAACAATACTTGTACGTTACCTGACATAAAGCGATATAGGCACCAGTGTATTGAGCATAATGACGTAGGAAAAGAACATGAGAATGGATGTCACCGCAATCGCAGTTTCCTCGCTATAACCGCCCACCACCCGTTCCTCCCACGGCATGACCCACTGGAATTTCCTCCCGGTAGTGTACTCCCAGAATCCACAGCCAATACTGCCAGCGAAGCACAGAACGAAGAGGAACATCACAATCTGCAAACTGAAATGTTGATTTATACCGCAATGTTTCCACTGATAACAGAGCACCGACCCCGATAATAATTTTATTCAGGAGTTTATCAATATTGGTCCGTTTGAATTTGGTCTTCCCGCTGTTCTGCATGAGTTTCGTATCCTTGCCGGCAAACACCACAACGCCATAGCACCATACTGTATTGCGCAAAATGCAACCGCGAAGTAAAATCTGGTTATTAGTGATGGGAAGAGATTTTCCTGCAGTATTGATAGAAAGTCAGGCAAATGGCCTAATATTTCCATGTAGCACACGGATAAAGTACCATCATCGAGTTTGAGCACTCCTTCGAATTTGCTCAAATTGTTATTGGGAGCTTCGCAAGTGATTTGCGCTTTGAGGTCGGCGAATTTCTCATTGCTGTCTTTCAGCGGCTCTGTTTCCACGAGAGCTTGTCGCGGTTTTAAATTGGTCTCCCTAAAAATGAACTGAAGATTTTCTATTGATACAATGATCAACAGGCATAACAAATCCATAGTATGGTTTAAAAATAATTTAACAAAATAATGGAGTACGCTTAGAAATGTACAATGTAAATACCCGTCCAACTCAGCGGTTTCAATATAAACAAGTCCATTGGGTTCACTGGACGATAGCAGCATAAGATCCGCGGCAACGAACTGACCATCTTCCATGCGAATGATATCCCCGACCACCACTTTATCCCACCGCTCCTGTACAAACTTCCCTCCCCGCAAAACGTCAGACCGCCGTCCATTGACTTTGTTATCACTCCGGTGGCGTTGCTGCAGTTAATTTCCTCTTTTAATTTTCAGAATACACACGCCGCATTTGTACTGTACAAACAACCAGCACGAGCACTATTCAAAAATGCAGAGCGGAAGTGTTTTTTGAAACAACATATATATTTAGAGCGGAATGCACGCTAATTACTGCAGCGTCACAACTGTTTGCTTTTACTGTATATTGTTAAATGTTGCAATTTGAATTGCAATTGTCTATTTAAAAGCGATAGTTTTCCGTATTATTACAACAATTACGTAGATAAATGTTGTGATAAGATAGATAACTTACCACATCGTCAACGAGATCCTTCACAGCCGTCAGTAGCAGCACAAAGAACAGCGGCATCATTGTTGTGATTGGCGTCAGCGAGGAAATAACTGGACACCACTACAGAATTAAAAAACGTCAATTTATTCAATACACACTGTACAGATCAGATAAATCAATCAAATGTATTAATGATAAATGTGTCTCCATAAATAGTGTTATTGATCAAGAGCAGCATACATTCCAGGTATGCATAAAAAATCATTGTGCCAACGCTACACACAATGTACAGAGTACTGGGAAATGGGAATAAATCGATTACCTGCAGTAACATTAAGACGAAAAAATACACATTGGCCAATCGTTGGAATTGTTCAAACAGATTCTTTGGCAGAAACGTCAGCACGTTGTATTTGGACGTCTTGATGTAATTATTCTGCAACATTTACCATATCGCAAAATATGTTCTTCCGCGTAAGCAGACTCAGGGCAGACGTCATACGTACCGCATAACGAAATTGGGCATTTTGGTCGTGCTGATTGATAAATATCTCCCGCTGTTTTCGAGGTCCATCTGGAAAACGCTTGCTATAATACATCTAATGTACTGCAGCTGCATTACGGAGTTTTTATATTTCTACCTGAGCCCGCCGAACCAGAGCGCGCTTTTCCGAGCCACTTCCCAAATTGTGCAAACCCTCCCATCTTAACGAGCACAAAATGCCGATCAACTGCGCGGGATGTCAAAACAGTAGGCAACCAGACTATCACGCACAAGCCACCGGATATGATTCAGATGACCACTGCACCTTACACCCGTCAGTTACGGATCAACTGGTGATGTGATCGACATCCTTCGTAATGAGAAATTAAATTACAAAAACATGGCGCTGAAGTTTTGAAATCAAGACTCAAGTCCATATAAAATCACAAAGATGAAACCGTAACAAATCAGATAAGGATAAATGAAGATATTTATTAAGGCAGGAGGACTACATATTCCCAAATCGGAGATGGCTTTCATTAAGAAAATCCAAAATCGGGCCAGTATGTGTAGCACCGACAGGCAAGCACTTGCATCGGTGCACGAACCAATCGTCGGAAATGTAGCGGATATTTACATCGTACCGAGAACTTTGCATAGCACACCAGAACCGTAAAGGACTAAATGCACAACATAAAATCTTATCCAAATTCAATAACGACATATCGGTGCAAGCAAACAATACGTTATCAGATAAAAAAGCGCATAATGCAAACTACCTGGCGGGGCTTACGTAAATGTTCGCCTCGCAATGATTCACGAATGATATTAATCAGCCGGCCAATACGTACGTACTGACAGTGCACATGCCGATAAAAGCTTGAGTAGCCGCACATAATAAAAGGCTCAATTAATCGACATACAGTATACGCGTAATAATCCACATACAAAGCAAAAATTCACCAAAGGTGGAAATACACCTTCATTTTCAAGTACTACGGGTAAGGGAGCAGGAAGTAAGAGAACCTTATTACCGGAATCTACTATGTCAATATATACGAATTGCTCATTGTGTAAACATAAACTCTCACGCGCATGGTGTACCACAATATTCCCATCAGGATTTTCCGTACCACAATCTCAGTCTACTTACAAAGCAAGTAACATGCAAAATCCCATGTTAATACCAAAATAAAATTTTATCGATAGAGTTGGCACTTTTTCTAGAAGTAAGTACTGCAAATGAGAAGGCAACGAAAACAGAGATCGATACACTGAACTGTATGATGTTTTAATCGATTTCATTTTCTTCCTGAAGAACGAATACCCAATCACCGTAAATCTAATGATACCACTTCAGTCTTTCAACGGTAATTCCAGAAACGTTATAAATTATTACTCAGTTCCGTTCAATACTAAAATACGAATGACGCAGAATTAATTAACGATGTTACGGTAAACAAACATCCACGCTTAGAACATCTTAAATTGCAGCAACAATTAAAAGTAATCAATAGTACGTCCTCTAGATTCTTCCCGCTTCCTTCAATTTTTTAACAAGATCTTCTACGGATTCGACCTTACTTCCGGCTTTGCGCACCGGCGGTTCCTCCACACTGACAATCTCTTGCCGGGGCGCAACATCCACGCCTAAATCAGCGGGAGTCTTCTTATCGATAGGTTTCTTTTTGGCTTTCTGCAACATGCACTCCGATTACGTACTATCCACTAAGCCAAGTGTGAAAAAATTCCAGCTTTTCCTACCATTATATTTGGTAAAGTAGCATAACGAGGTTGATTGAGCCGTAAATCCGTGGTGACCACTGCAGGCAGTTTGACTTTGACAACCTCCAGCCCACCATCAATTTCCCTGGTCACTTTAAGACCACCGTTTTCCGGGGCAACTTCCGATGCGAAGGTGGCTTGTGGCCAGTTCAACAGGGCGGCTACCATCTGACCAGTCTGATTGCAGTCGTCATCAATAGCCTAAAACGCAATTTATGTGCTGTAACGCATCTACAACCCGGCTACCAAGACTGAAGTTGAAGTATAAAGTATCTATATTTACTTGTTAATTAATACGACAGTATTTACCTTAAAAAAAGGAACTCAATCCAATAGTAATTTACAAAACAAGCTGATCTAAATTCAATATCTTTTACAAACAAACATACACGAAGCCTCCGCAATAAAAAAACTAACAATGGTAAAACAAAACAACTAGCAATGGTAAAACTAACATTGCTGTTACTGTGTCAGTTTTACGATACGATACTCCTGCATCCCGAAGCTTCTACCTATTATCTCAAAACGTCTACAGGCTCCAAAGACCATGACCTATTCGGGTAATTATAAGTTGACTATCTAGGTGTTCGAAAACTATCAAAAAAATCGTAAATTTTAATAACAACAAAACAAAACCAACAAATTAGGGACAGTGCATTTCCGGTAAAAAACTACAAAAGCAAGAAGATTTTCGTTCAGCTAAAACAGGGAAGAGTATCAAAAATCACAAACTACTGCGTGCATATCTGTAGTAGGAGGTAGGTTATTATTTACGATATGCGGATGCGCATGGTGAAGATACATAATATTACATACTAGCACCAATTTTTGCAAGCAGATTCCTGAAATCTGCAGCAAGCAGAAAGCTTTCTGCTTTTTTATCAGCACATATGATTTTGCAACAAGACTACTTTTTATCACAAGCAATAAATATATCACTAAGTAGTAAAGAATTCAAGCTATGGATATGGAGGAATACCTGTTTGCCTAGAATAACCAGATCAATTTTCTCCTCCTTGGCAAGTTTGGCAATGATGTTGGCGACATGAATGGGCGATAGGTTCTCATATTCCTTCGCCGGCACTTCCACGTGGATGGCTTTATCCGCACCCATGGCCAGTGCCGTCCTTAGCACTTCCTAAACACGGTCATAATAGCCATGCATGTTTAGGGATATGCACAACGCTGTGCAGCTGATTATGAAAGAACTGCGAACGCACTTGTGCTTGCGTGGGTCCACACGAGACCGCGACGATCTCGCTCGCTGCCTTCTTCTCCTTCAGCCGCACAGCTTCTTCCACGGCAATCTCATCGAACGGGTTCATACTGTGCTTCACATTGTCAGTCACGACTCCGGTGCGGTCTGACTTTACGCGAACCTACCCAACGCAAACCATGGTTGTTTGTCCGTATTTGTGTAATAAGGATCACGCTCAAGGGGCTGTGCAAAACTTACTCGCACTGCGTAATCAATAACCCGCTTCACGCCAACCATTACTCGCATAGCCATTTTGCGATAGAGGATATGGAAGAACACAAAAATTTAAATGAAGAACTGAATAAAGACACTTCCAAAGCGATTGCGAAAACACGAGATCGAGAAGGTGCGAAAGTTGCTGGATCTGCAGTTTTGCTGTTTGGAGTTTTGTACCCCAGAGCCCAGAAAGCCTATGTCTGAGTAGAAGCGACGACCGCCTGGAACAGCGGTCACCGGGCTCAAAGTCATGCCTCACTCAGTCACTCTGAAGTGCTGATTTTATTTCCATTTTTTCGCGAGAAAGGAGAAAGTTTGGCATAAGAAGTTTTCTAGTCCTAACTTTTTGTCTAATTGAGATTTTTTCATAACTGAGACTGGGTTGAGACTTCACAGAACCTGATAAATCTTACCGATTGGTATGCTATTTGGATCCGTTTGGGATTCCACATCACACGTCTTCCATAATGGCAGCGGACATTTTACGTAGTAATCCCAATTCATGGGAAGAAACCGCGTTAAGCAGTTCTAGAAACTCTTCCAAATCCAGTCTGTTGAATTCATCCAAACCTTCGGCAGCAAAATGTGAGCACATTGATTTTCTGCATGTGTAGGTTGCTGTCAGGGCTATTCATATGGTTGTGTGTATTCGACAGCGAAAGCCTCTCGCGAAGAGCGGATGCTGATGTGCACGACGGATATCGTGCAACAGTTGATTGTGATTTACGAAGACGAACGACAGGGGAAAGGTCCGGGACGAGACGTCAACCTGAACACCATCAAGTGTGCAACATCGTCAAAGTAAGAAAATCCGAGATCACCCTTTTCTGGTGAATCAGAGGAGGAACTAATGCAATTTTATAGATATGGATTGGAATGCCAGCCTCGACTGGTGGACATAATCGCTGCGGTTCCACATGAGTATCGCAAAATTCTTCTTCCCAAACTGAAGGTACACACCGCAAATTATGTGCAATTAAAAATTTTCCGGTAAATTCAGTGATTTTTCAACATACTTCTGGGTATCATAACCTAAGAAAAAATTGCGAAATCCTAAATTAACTTTTTTTGGGATTCATTTGTAGGTGCGAGTTGTACTTACGCTTTTTGCGCTTTCGACTGTTTCAGTGACTGTGTGTTGCATTTATACTCGTAGGCTAAACCGGTGCGCACAGCCAGTGGCATTGCCGTTGTGGCCGTGATGTGCAAGCCGCACCGATGTCCGCATATTTCCATGACCGGAAATGTGTGTGTCTACTGTCCCGGTGGTCCTGATTCGGATTTTGAATACAGTACGCAGTCGTACACAGGATACGAGCCCACCAGCATGCGAGCCATCCGTGCTCGCTACAATCCGTATCTGCAGGTAAAAACTCGCTAAATATGTACTAGTAATTTAACAATTTAAAATTTCACACTATAGGAAATTATCCAGTTGTCTGAAAGTATGTTTTTTAAAATCACAGTTCCCATTGCGTAGTAATGCTTTTATTTCGACATTAATAGACGCGCCATCGAGTGGAGCAGTTGGCACAATTAGGACACTCTGTCGACAAGGTGGAGTTCATTGTGATGGGTGGGACGTTCATGGCGCTACCAGAAGATTATCGGGATTATTTCATCCGTAATCTGCATGATGCGTTGTCCGGTCATACCAGCAAGAATGTCGACGAAGCCGTCAAGTAATGTGACCTCCGGTTGATAACTGTCTCGCACGCTTTGGATTTTATTAGCCCTTGGTTATTTTTATTTGGTGAAGGCTCCGCATACCACCTTTATACCACCGTTGACTCCTAGTACCACCTTTCATACCACCTTTGGCTCCTAATACCACCTTTTGCATACCACTTTTGACTCCGCTGCCTCCGCATACCACCATTTAATTTTTTAAAGTTTAATTTTTAATTTAGTTTAATTTATTAACATGTAGCAATAGCAAAAAGCAAAATGTAGCAAAAAGATATGCAGCAACTAGCATGTTGAAGGCATTCAGTATCGCAACCGACGCTATGGAAAAACAGTGCGAACACACATCGGAAATTTGTTTTCGTACTGTTTGTATGGAAGCGTGTGTCCGTAATGTCCGTACATAACGCTACGTTGCGAACATTGTACACCGAACACGGTATCCGAAAATGGCTACTAGTAGTGGAGTAATTTGAAACGGTGTACAGTTTTTTCATAAAAGCTTGATTCACATCAGTAGATAGAGAAATGAATTCTCTATCGATTCCAGTATGATTTAAAATGGCGTAATGTGAGTAGAAATTCACCTTAATTCAACACGAATGCATTCGTTGATTTCTGTCCGTTACGGAAATTCGTTACGGAAGTGCGTTACGGAAGAAACAGTATGACGTCCCCGCAGCCGACAGCGATGACGTCATCGCTGGGCAGCGTGACGTAACGGCTCTATAGAGGGTACTGCAGCCATTGATTTCTGTCCGTTACGGAACTGTGTTACGAAAGTAACGCCGTGACGTCACGCAGCTGACCACTGACGTCATGGCTATTCAGACTGACGTTGCCTGTTGTAACAAGAAAAATTTGCATCGGGATGGAAGTTGAACAAAATCCTTACTAATTCATAATAATATAGCTGCAAAAAAAAATTAAATGGTGGTATGCGGAGTCAAAAGTGGTGTGCAAAAGGTGGTATTAGGAGCCAAAGGTGGTATGAAAGGTGGTACTAGGAGCCAAAGGTGGTAAAAGGTGGTATGCGGAGCCTTCACCTTTTTATTTTGAAGATTTTCCGAACGCAGTCGAACGAAGTGTATCGGCATAACAATCGAAACTCGTCCGGATTATTGCCTAAAGAAGCACATCTCGGAAATGCTGTCCTATGGATGCACGCGCTTAGAAATCGGTGTACAAAGCATATATGAAGATGTCGCTCGCGATACTAACCGTGGTCACACCGTGAAAGCCGTGACGGAGTCCTTCCACATGGCCAAAGACGCCGGATTCAAAGTTGTCACGCATATGATGCCCGATCTACCAAATGTCGGACTGGAACGCGATTTCGATCAGTTTGTTGTAAGTTACCCGTTGCGCTCATACGGACAGCATCTTTGCGGGATTGATTGTGTGTATTGTGTACTAACTTGTAAGCGCTACTTTATTGGTACAGCAGTTGTGCTTTTGTGCAGTAATTTTTCTGAGGTTTGTTATTGCTGCCGCAATGGAGTCTTTGCTAATGCATGTATTTCGGCATCTTTGACATCTTCTTTTTCCAGGAATTTTTCGAAAACCCCATTTATCGCCCTGATGGTTTGAAGATCTATCCTACACTGGTTATACGCGGGACTGGATTATACGAACTGTGGAAAACGGGACGGTACAAGTCGTATCCCGCGCCGGTTCTCATTGATTTGGTAGCGAAAATATTAGCACTTATTCCGCCTTGGACCAGGGTTTATCGTGTTCAGAGGTACAGTATAATGACGACCATGAATTTTCATTTCGTTGATTTGGATATATGAATTACATACAATCCGTAGAATACAGTTACAGAAGTGCTATAAGTTTAGGAAATCTGTTCGTCTACGCCTATTTGACTGCAAAAATGTCGGAAAGGGCGTAATGAGTGTGTTCTGATTGTAGAGATATTCCCATGCCGTTGGTCACCAGCGGTGTAGAGCATGGTAACCTGCGCGAATTAGCTTTGGCGCGCATGAAAGATTTTGGAACAAAATGCCGCGATGTTCGTACTCGAGAAGTCGGTATTCAGGAAATTCATCATAAAGTTCGACCATACCAGGTAACGTATTTTGTTTCATGCTTTTTGTTTTAATTTTGAACCACTGAATTCAGATAACGATCAATTTGCATTTGTCATAATTATGAAATGTGTACTCGTACTGTAGTCTTTGTATTACCAGTTGCGAAGCAGAAAGCATAAATCTTAGTATCAGCATGAAAAACTTGATACTAAAGCTTACGTACTAGAAACTATGCGCTAAAACGTACATTTTTTATTTTAAACTGCTAAATCGCTTTAAGAAAATACAAAGTGAGTATCACATATATATTGCTCTGAATGTAAAGGGAACTGTGTGAACTCTTAAATGATAAATCTGGCTTCCTTAAATGATAGTACTTCAGTATTCGCTTTGTACGGTAATTATTGTGTAATGCAGGTGGAACTGATTCGTCGAGATTACTGGGCGAACGGTGGCTGGGAGACGTTCCTCTCGTACGAAGATCCCGCGCAGGACATCCTGATCGGTCTCCTGCGTCTCCGCCTGTGTTCTCCGACCACCTTTCGACCCGAACTGAAGCACGACAGCACCCTGGGCACCGTGTCGATCGTTCGGGAACTGCACGTGTACGGCTCGGTTGTGCCGGTATCCTCGCGGGATCCCAGTAAATTTCAACACCAGGGTTTTGGTCAGCTGCTGATGGAAGAAGCCGAACGGATAGCGCTGAAAGAGCACGGTTCATACAAGATGGCGGTCATTTCCGGTGTGGGCACCAGGGATTACTATCGTAAGCTGGGCTATGAATTGGAAGGTCCGTATATGACGAAAACGCTGCGAACCGAGCAGGTTAAGATAGTCAGACAGGACAGCATCAAACCGGTGCAGCATGTAGAGTTTGAGCGGCTGATTGGAATGGTGGCGCCAATCGTTCGCACAGCAGCATGATCGGGAAAATAACTACCGCTGAATATTATGGATCACAAATCGGGATTATCTAGTTAAAAAATTTTTAGATTTGTTTTTGTGAAAGGTTAATGCGCAACGAAGTGGATGGTTTGCCGTATTCCGCTGCGATTCTGAATTTTTAACGTTACAGTTGGAATATTGTATTTGTATTGCCTTTTGTACGATATACATATTGTCTGCAATATCGGTCGTATTAAAGCTGTAAAGAACACGCTTTAAAATTCGCTAATGCAGTGATTTCCCCAGCGAAGTGTCGCAGGGATATTGGATATGCAGAAAACTTGTAGTGACTAAAATGATTATGCTATGCTGCGACGGCATCGCAGTACAAATACTCACTACTCATCTGACAGCGAAATACTGCACTCACATAAAAAGCTGCGCTATGGAAAGATAAAACAAAAAATCACTGCAGTAAAATTGTCTTTCAAACATGTGTAATTCACTAATTCTTTCTGTAGATTTAAATACAGGCTGCACTTGCAAGTAAGTAATATAGATATACATGTCTGCCCTCTCTTGTCCATATCGGCGGCGTTTTCTTATTAGTTATTACCGTATAACGTTAAATTTGTAAAAGAGCCGTTTCTTTGGGCTGCTGATAAGATTACGAAAAAGCATAAGCAGCAGTGTGTGCACACATTTGTATACAAGTACGGTAGAAGAGACCACAAAATCGGAGACGCTACGATAGCGGATGCATACCGGTTTTCGGTTTCCTGCATTTTTCTATTATGTACAATACTTATTCTATTGATTTTGATATGAATAGAAAGTGCAGTACACTGCGTGCGTATAAGCTGCATATCTGTGCTAGCTAGCGCTGTACCCACTAGTTGTATTGCTATGAGCAGCAAATTAGTCTATGCTTGCTTTTTTTTGCGCAAAAACAAGAAACTTTGCGTCATCTGTTGTTGACGTTTTAGTGCGCTGCGACGGTTAAAGGAAGGCGTTAATATAGATAAATTAATTATTGTTTTTAGTGTTTCTTATTACGGGAATCATGGCGCAGCTGGGAAATCCATTCCGAAAGATGGAAGCCCGCCCGGATTATTCGAACCTCACTTTTAAAATTAATGTGCCGGTCGACCAGAACGAAGTCAATGCGCTATACGAAAATGCTGGATTGAATCGTCCGCGTGACCCAGAGCGAATCGGAGAAATGTACAGGAATTCCAATCTGGTTGTCAGCGCATGGGATGGCGATAAACTCATCGGTGTGGCGCGATCTCTGACTGATTTTGCGTACTGCTGTTACTGTTCGGATTTGGCGGTTTTAAAAAGTTATCAGATCGGCGGTATCGGGAGGGAATTGTTAAGGATAACGAAAGAAACCATCGGTGATCGGTGTATGCTGATTCTGATTTCGGCACCAACGGCTATGGAATATTATCCTAAGATCGGGATGAGGAAGGTGGAAAATGGCTGGATTGTCGATCGTGTGGTCTAAAGATAAATTACGAACCCGGACGTGCAGATCATACCAGTAAAATCTGCCGCGCTTTTTAAATGAATTTTACACACATTTCAATGCAGCCCACTGTATCATGCATATATAATTTATAACCATTTTCCGCTTAATTTTTGATATAGAGAAATTTAGTTCCTGATTTTTTATTAACGTTAAAAAGACTTAAAGTTTTTTAATGCCAACAGAAGCAAGGCAGATTACGTCTTCGAGCTTGACGAGACTGATTATTTACATTGGTATCTGTACGTATGCTGCATATAACTTTTGCTGATGCAGTCACCGTATGATATTAAAGACACTCTTGATTAAAGTGAGTTCTGCGGGCCCGCGTACGTTGCACATTATTCTGCCAACTATCTGTACATGTAGTTGTGTTAACTGGTATCTGACGTTAAAGTGCTTTTCCAGCCTAGGAAACGTATTTAAATAATTACTGCAGTTCGGTTTAATATATACACAGCATAAATTAAGCAAAATGTACCAGTGTCGTACATTATCGGTAAAAAATTAAAAATCATTGAAGGCGGTGTATGCATGAAAGGAAAGCACTTCCGGTTCCCAGAGGAATCTTGTACCGTTTGCTGATTAAAATTAAATGGTAATCGCTGTGAGATTGCTGTACGCAGATGGCTCTGGTATTGACACTTGGCTGAAGGTGTTTCCGGTTCGATTAGCCAACAATGCCGCACAGGAAAACTGGGAGTTGGGCTTGTGTCCTTCGTACTGTTCCAGCAGAAACAATACGAATCCAATCAGCATGGCTATCAACTGTAACGCAAAGTACGGGAGACAGGTAGCACCTTTATCAATTTTGAATAATTAATACTATTACAGTCTGTAGTGAATTGCACAGATTATTTTAATGACGTCGCGGTTATCCAGTGTGTACTCACAGAGATAATGAAAGCTCGTGTTAACTCCACAAATCCTCCGGCAGAAACAACCAGTGGTGTGGTCACTGTGCGCTGCAGAAACGTAAACAAGGAGAAATATTCCTCCATACGAGATCCATCGTCTACTTCTTCTTTGCGCTCTTTTTCCGCTGGGTTTTTCTTTGACAAATATCGCATTTGTCGAGAATGTATCACCGTCTGGAGATTTTCAATAATTCTGCGGCTCTGCGCATGCACACAAATATTAAACCAATGCCGAAAATTGCAGTGTAACAACTACTAATCGTAAAATTATCCAGTACGTACGCTTTATTACTGTCATCAGTACGCATCTGTACTACACTGTGCTTTAAAGATTGCGCCAGTCAAGCCGCAGAAATCATAAGGAAACACATTTATGTACACATGAAGTGTTCGTTTTGTTACTTAAGTATTATCTTAAACCATTTGCTTGGTTTAAACTCTATATCTTTTCAGGTTTTTGTGCATTTACTGCCAACTGATATAAACATATTTTTATGTCACCTTTTTAATTCATATAGTATTTTTATTGCTGCAGGTATATCTTTATCAAGTATTCTACACTATATACAAATGTAGTAGTAACTAATAATTTCCATGTCGACAAAGTCACTCACCTCTTCGTGCAGTTGTATGGGATGAAAGCACAAGGTCACCACGGCGTAGAACGTGATGATTAGTGCCAACGCATGTGCGATTATCCAGTCTTTGGTAAGATTTGGTTTAAAAAACGACGACACCGACGCGAACATCAGCAAACTACTTCCGACAATTCCCATTACAATCTGACTAGAGAATGCATGTTCATACTGTAGATACGCCTCGACAATCTGCTCATAGAGACTGCGTAGTTCGTGTATATCTTGCTGGAATGTCACATAAGTGAATCCTGCATCATCCGCCTCTGCTTTTTTTCGTATCCTCCGCAAGCGCCCATTTAACACCACACAGCATTCTTTTAAAATCCGCGCCAATGTACCGATTAGCACGTAAATGCTAACGGCGATAATCGTTCCAAACATATCACCGCATAATGTAATGACAAACGCCGTCTCAATGTCTAAGCGAAATATACCGAACGGAACTTTCGATTTATCCGGGTGGTATTTTGCCATATTGTTCAGAAAAGTTACACCGAAATAACAACATGCTGGGATAAGAATCACAAAGGGCATAAACATAAGAATACCGACCATACAGTGCCGGTGTCGACGTGCGCGCGACATGTTGAGGTTGGCCAGAAGTAGATTAATCGTCGATAGGTACGCTTTCATACGGCCCATGTGCGAAAGGAATATCAATACGGCGCTCATATTTTTCAAGGATGTCACGGTACATCTCATTAAGGTCAGCAGAGTGATGATTTTATTAGCGTTTACATAATACTTTTCCCAATCTTTTCGGTTGGCCACCAAATTCACCGCTTCGTGTACGAAAAAGGTCACCAGTATGACACAAGTAATAACTGTCTTAGAGAAGCGAATCACGGTGACAATGTTGGAGGACGTACGCTTCGGTTTATCGATGTTACCGTATTCGGGAATATTGGGTAAGGGAAGGAAAACGGATAGAATATGCCACACAGGAATGACCTTTTCCATGGCCATGGTATCACCGCTTATATATAACAGTTTTCACATTAAAAAATATAGATGAGATCAAGGAATCGATGAACGCAGGAACAATTGGCTAGCCGCTAGCGTATATGAATATACTTTATCATCGGATAATCGGACTTTGAGCTTGAATGCTGTATGATCAAAATGTCGTATACAACCATCCCTGTGAGAACAGTAATTTTCCCCCACAAACAAATATAAATATAGATATCTATATTTTACCTTCCACTGCATCAGTTGGACGCGATAAGAATGATTTCGTGACAAAAAGGAATACTGCTACTGCAACACTAATGTGAGAGCTTCCAAATAAAATAACGAAGTTTGATACTGGGCAGAAAATGCTTGGTGTGGTATATCCGACGTAGTCCTAGCCTGCCTGCTTGCCCAGATGGCACATCCACAAATAACTTATGACAACAAGAGCAGTTGTTAATGATGCTGTAAGTGTTTACTTCATCTTCGTCACATTCAGTCGTCGCCGTAAATTCCCGCGACTGTTTCGCAAATGTGCTAAAAGTCAACTGTCTCGTAGGAATTAACAAATTACACGATCACGGGGATTCAGCAGATATTAAGGTAGGAAATACTCCAAAGTCGCGATCAATAATACCCGACAGTACCTGACTGTGAATTGGTATTTTCTTGCAAGCTGCAGCATGTTTTCTCGACGTACACTGTTGTAAGAATTACAGTACCTAATTCGCAAGCAGTTTCATTCTGAAATCGAATGTTTTAACTGTGACTAGTACTGGCAAAATTCATGGTGAGCTGAACCCGTGTCTGGATTTCGAATTCCAAGTTGGAGAAGTGCTTCGGTTTTATACATATTTATCTAACGCGGATTATTTTTAAAACGAACATACCAGTATGAAAGAGTTCTGTTCCTATTCCGGTTTTTACACCGTTTAAAATTTAATATGTTTTGCTCTGAACGTAATGCTAGGAAATTAAGCAGCCCAACAGACGACGATTTCCAGAATTGTATTTTATTATAACGCAAAATACAGATTAATTCGCTAAATCAGTAGCGACTGTGGATAAATGCAACAAGAAACCAGCATCATGATATCATGTACCATTATAAAGATCAATCGTTCGAGACCAAAAGAAAACTAATTATTTCCTCATCAAGATTAAAACGGCTAGAGCTGACAAGAAAATAAACCAGTGAATTAATTTTACCATTAGCTACTAGCAGTTACAAAAAAATGAAACCGTGCGAAACAAATGATAAATGGGGAATTAATTTTTACCATTTAGTCGTGCTGGTCCCATTCGGCTGCTTTTTCACTTCTTGGCCTGCTCCACGGCTTTGGGCTTTTCATGGGTGATGGGGATCTCCCGGAACTCCTCCTTCTTCTGTTCGATAGCCGGCGCTGTGTACGGGGCTTCCACCTGCAGCACTCCGCCGCGACCCAGTCGACTCTTCAGCAGCTCCACTTTGGCGCCCTCCGGAATGCTGACCATGCGCTGGAACTGGCGGACCACATGATGCTCATCGTCGCCTTCTTCGTGTTTAGCCGAGACCACCAGCCGGCCGTCCTGCGTCTTCAGCGTGATGTCCTCCGGTTTGAAGCCACGGACGTCGAAGTTGAATTGGATCTTCTTCTGGCCGTCCTCCTCGATGATGTCCGGAGTCAGATTGCGCACGGCCAACTGCTGCTGTCCCCCGGTTTGATTGTTGGACAAGCGACCCATCTCGCGGTTGACGTAGCGCATGGCGTGGTCCATGTCGGCCAGGGCGCTGTTGATGTCGATGAAGGGATCCATGATGTAGTGTGGAGTGTCGTAACGCGATCCCACCATCAGCGCAAAGGGATCCTCGTTGTAGCGACGACGCTGAGGGGCTCCGAACAACAGCGGAATCAGAGACATTTTAGCGATGAGAATTTCAAAACGACACGGGAAAACTTCAGAAAAAAAATCAATCAGCTTCACAGAAAGTTTCTAATTCAGGTCTGGAAAGCTTTTGCAGATTTACAGTTTGCTCGGTTTGCCGTCTGTGTTGTGCTTTTGGCGTTTATATACCGACTGGCACACCAGCTGTTCCATTCTAGAAATTGCTCGTGAAACGGTCAATGGACGGGCCTGGATATTTCTGATAAATATGATTGGATAAACAGCGTCTCACGCGCTACGATTGGTTCATTGCGCGATGGGCGTTATTCACATCCAGAAGTGGGTGGGTGACGTCAAAGCAGCCTAGAAAAATCCGTAAAAATCCGTACGTTTCTCGATTTTACTTTCTTTCGTACGTAGCAACACAGCAGGAAGTCGGGAAATATTAAATGAATTACGAGTTGCACCGGTAAGTAACCGGACAGCGGCAGAAGCTTTGTAGTTTGTGATATTTTGACCAAATAACTGGAGTCCACTGTCCAAGTGTCGAGTAACCAGAAACGTCGAGAAATACCTGGCTGGAGATGTTGAAATTTCGAGATCTGTCTAGTTCTACCTTCTTGTGTCCCCGGCTAGAATTTTCGAGGCAATTCGCCAAAAATTACCGATTCCATCATAGAAACAACTGTTTAAATTAATAGCACTGAAGTTGAAGATGCTTGTATAATTATATGTAGCAATTTAGCAACTTAACGTTAGTGTACCATGCATTTTATCACCAGTAAAACAGTAAAAACACAAAAATGGTGTCCGAAATCCAACGCAAAATTAATTTCAGCTACACTTTATTGAATAAATTGCATCACAACTTTCACAAACTGAATGAAAAATAAAATTTTAATTATGATCTTTATTCGGCGAAAACAAGACATCCAGAAATGAATATTGTATTTACACCGATCGGTATCATTTCACAGTGTACGAGAACATATCCATATTCACACGGTCACAGCAACAACAAAACGATCAAATGGATGAAAGAATGCTAACTCGCGGAATCCCCGTGCTCCAGCCCCTCCACCTGGGCACCGGCAACCTCCCAGAACGTCTGATTCGGCTGCGTCTCGTCCACCGTCGCACCCGTTTCCGGTGCGGCGGCAGTAGATTGGAGAATCGCCAGCACCGCATCATGCACTTCCGGTACGACGTGATCCCGTGGTATAAATTTCAACAAGCCATACTTTTCGAATTTGTGCAGATGACGCTCTATATATGTAAAAAACGGATGTTTATTTAAGCCGATCAGCGTATTACCGGCATTCGGTAGCGGGTGGCCTACCTCGACAGCGTGATATCCACAGCTGTTTATCGTTCTTTTTTAAATCCGAAGCCAATTGCTCCAGCGCACGCAATCCCGTCGAATCAACGGATGATACATTGGTCAGATCCACGATAACGGCGCGAATGTGCGGTAGCGCGCTGATGACCAACGGTGTGGTCGAAGAGCGCGGCTCACTGGATGTGCTGGTTATGGTTGTGTTTTGCGGCTTATTCTAGAAAAATAAAAAGGAAAAACATGTTTTGGGATATATAAAATTTTTTAAAAATTGTTCTACTCAATTCCATCGAGCGTGTAACTGTAAAACAGAAGGCGACAAATACTGTACTTCGAAGTATAACACCGGTATCATTCTGGTTTAACTTTCTACATTCATTATTGTAGCCAGTATATGTTAACTGCAAAAGCTTTGAAATTCTCAGATTATAATAATACCAACAGAATGTGTACCTGACCTGGTGAGAGTTGGCGATTTGCATTAAATGGTCAACAGTAACAACCCGGGTTTTAGGGACATCCGCTTCGCTGGACGGTGTGATCAGACTGTGCCCGGTATCATCCTGCGGTCTTCCATTAGCCAAACGAACAGCCCGGCGGAGAAAGTGCTCCGCATTAGCGAAATGCAGGGAATTGTTAAGAATCTGCACAATCCTAATTTCCGGTATTTCTGCAACCTTTAGGGATTTATCCAACCGGGTATGCATAGGTACAGAAAAAAGTGCATGATAAAAATAATTCCAGTTAATGCTTACCACGCCTTTCGGCTTTGCATGCTTCATGCTGACGTATAAAGCATCATAGCCGGTGCGTTTTCCAAGGATGTCAAGACGTGGCCTGGTAAAAAAATGCTAACGATTAAATATGAATTCTTTAAACAAATGTATGATTTAAAAAAAAACAATTTTTACCGTTGCGATCTGTAGACAACGGCAAACCAGGAAAACACCAGACCCAATAGCAGACCCCATTCCACATCCAGCAGAACACACGCAATAAAGGTCAGCAGCCATTCCACCTGAATCATTCCGATTGGCAATACAAACGTTTATTTTTAATTTGATTTGCTTTACGGTGTACAAAACTTGTAAACCGAGGTGCAAATAATAGAACCACATACCGCATCCAGTTTAGATGAGCGATATAATCGCGGCAGATCACCGAACATCTTCAGGCTCATGGCCAACGTCAGAGTAATTATGGTAGCAATGACGCTCTGCAAATCAGTAAGTAATACGAGTACAACCACCAGAAAGTACCGGTCGAAGTAAAGAAATTTTTTTTCCAAATGCACAGAATACAAAATCTACACCAGTGCTCCAGTTTTTGTTGATATATGGGTAAACTGTGGACAAATCATGCCTTTACTCACGAATGGACAGTAGAAAAGCGTCTGCGATGCAAATGCTAACAGTAATCCGGTAACCAGACATCCAAAGACAGTGGACAGTTGACTCTGTGAGCCCATACTCTCTAGGATAAAATTTCTTCCCACGGTGACACTGGCTGGGAAACAGGAGAAAAAAGAGCTGAAGAAGTTGGCACACCCGACCGCGGCCAATTCTTGATTACTAGATACTTCGTAGGATGCCTTGCGGGCCAACACTTTGCCGGCCTGCATAACGAAAGCGATGGATACCAGACCGGCGAGGAAACCCTCCAACAACGGATACGGCATGTACTGGAAGTTCGGTACGCTCGGATATGGTATTCTGCAAAATTGAAAGCAGTTCAACAAAAATATAATTACAACCAAACAATAACAAAGCTCTCATAACATAACATCAAAAATACAAATAGTAACGGTTTCCGTGGCTTACGAGATTCAGTTTGAGTTATCTCAGCAAGTAATAACCAACCAGTCAAACTGCTTTAAACGGCTGCTAATAAACTACAAAAGTAACAAAAGAACACAATAAATCACCAGTTTTGAAGAAAATATTGTTTTTAAAAGTATGATGTATGTATGCATATTTATCGTTATATGTTGATAAACCTATATATACTGACCATATTCTTACGAGTATGCTAAACTTTAAGTGTCATGCAGTGTGCCCGCGCTTGCTTCTGTTTTCACTCGGGTGGTTATTGCCTGATTAAAGTTTTTATGTATTTTTTAAAAGAGCACAGAAAAAATTCTCGAAGGAACGTTTACCCAGATGGCATGTCGCCCAATATGGTAATCCCATAATCGCCATTCAGATCAAAACAGTAAGCCAGAATCGTCGCGACCACCATCACGATAAACTCCGTAGGAATGACGAGTTTCACCTTCCGAAACAGAGCCGGCTGGAGAAATTCCCGAAATCCAATAATAACTGATGCGCTCAGCATGGCGAACAGTGTGTCTTTCCAGTTAATACTGGTAATGTTGGAAAAAAGCAGAATCAGCATCTGCAGAAGGATACTGCGTTAATCAGCCGTCGCGAGAATAAACGCCACAGTCGATGAATACCATAATGTGCTTGTTTAATCCGTAATAAGCCGGCAAACTGACGCCCAGCATATTGGGAATCTGTGTGAGCATAATTTGTAAGGAACAAGCACAGTTGAAGGGGTCCAGGACATTATGCGAGAACATCCGGCTGACAAATCCCAGTTGAAATACTGACAAGATTATCTAAAAGTTTAGAAATGTTTAAAAATTATGTACATCCTTGTAATAAGTAATAACAGAAATTAAAGGTGACACCTACTTAACATCTACTGTACGTAATATAATGAATCATGTAAATATATGAAATACAAATAAAACATGAATCCCTAAAATAAAAATGTAGATAACCGTAAAGAGTGCATGTGCATAAAGTAAAACAGAAATGCACAAATAAACAATAAAATAATGATGCACGCAAATAAATGCAAAAAAATAGTACCAGAGGATTAAAAACCCAAAAATAAACGATAAAATCTAAAAGTTTCAATGACAAGATCTGGAAACAGAGATATTATAGAACTAATCAGGATCTTCAATGAACATTTTACCTGGACGATTCCTGCAATGAAGGTAATGCTCGCGGCAGTGTGCAGGTGCTCCAAGGATACCACGTAACGCAGCTGAGCCGGTGTGACCGTCTCTCCGGTCACATTGAGCAGTCCGTGGTTATGCCCGATTTGGCGGGCCCGTGCAATAGCCACACCGGTCAAGGCGGCCTGGGGAGCGAAAGCACCCACGGAATTATGGTATGAACTCCCCAGAAATGCGTAAATTAATCCAGGGAAGAATGTCAAATAAATGCCGTAAACTGGGCCGAGGTTGGCAGCCATTCCGGTTCCCATCGCTAACGCAGGCAGGTACTTTTTTCCATAAGTTCATATTTCGGTTTCAAAAATTTATAATTATAATAAATACTACATACAGAAATGGGATTCATTCAAAGGAATTATTACAATTTTGCTGCAACAAGCTATCAACATATTTTCACTAACTTACAATAGTTTGCTGAAAAAGTCCTTTACAGTTATGAACCTATGCTGTTGCCTCATGAAAAAATATATGTAAAACCATAATCAAACTAACGAAAGAAATTAATGTGCGCAAACAGTTACAGCTTAAAAATTGTGGAAACCACAGCAAATATGGAAGCTTTCCAATAAATAATTTCATATTTACAACCTATCCTAATTGTACACGACTGTTGCTTACACTGCGGAATATGGAAGCACGCCACAATAATTCCCGCCAAGAAATCGTTCCAGATCCAGCGTAATTTATATATCCTCAGACGGGCAAATAAAGGAATGCCCTGGCCAACTGCTCGCCACGGCGATTCACGATACGTGTAGTATTTTTTCCACATCGTATTTCTGTATATCAAGACTATTGGTAACCGTCAACCCAAACCCGGACAAATTTTAGGGATATCCAGTTAAGCTTTAATGACAAAAGAACGATCGAAAGACGTTGCAAAAAAAAAACAAATGCCCGCATACAAAAATTTCCGATGCTACTCCGCTAAAGCCAAGTAGCAGGTCAAACTGAAATACTGTATAGTTAAGTCCACATTCGGAACTGAATGATGCAACTTACTTCAGTTTCAGCATAATGGAATCCATTTCAATTGTAAAGGTCAAACTCCGCCTCCCGTATTCTGTAGCTCAAAAGGCAAAATCCGGATTCACAGGATAGGAAAGATCGCTTTAAAAAACTGCAAGTTCTATGTCGTCATTCCAGTGGTCATACTAGACGTATAATAAAAGTTAAAAGCATTGGTCTCAGTTGATATGCGTACTGTATTATCTGTATACGATATCACAGTGGGTTATTATTTCCGATTTCGCAACACGTGCAAGGCTGGCAATATAACTCACAAGTTACTGTCCACGACTGGTCACAGCGCGGCACAGCCTTCGAAAGTGCCGCAAGCGTTTTTACTACTGCAATTTTTTATGACCGATTTCCAAAAACTGTTTACGATTAAAAAGCCGAAAATCTGGTGTGTTCGCACAAAGTTAACCAATAAATATGTGTGATTTATGGACGTCACAACGTTTTCGCTAATTACACGCAATCACAACTACTGTAACCAAATTTTACGAGCTAGACAAAACTACCACAAACTATTCAAGTTGCAAGTCGATACAAAATTAATGGTAATCCTGCCACATAAAACAGCCCACAAAAACCGTTATCAAATGCACTTCATAGAATAAACACTTCATGAAACTTCAAATCCAATTATTAAGACATTTTATTCGGCATTTATAACAACAAGACTTGAAAGCACCGTCAAGAATTCACAAATATAAAAAAATGCAATACTACGTCAAGACAATTTAAACTGTCCTTTAGAAATGCAGAAAATCAATGGTCAAACCTAGAAGGGCATTGATCACAGCGAACGAAAGATTTGAATCACATCATCAGGAATCGTTTCAAATACGCCAATAACATCAACAGCATTTGATGCTGGCCCGGAATATTGTAAAATTTGCTGCACCAATATATCCTGCAAAACAAAATCAGCAGGTCAGCTAATCGCGTACCGAAACCGCGTAATCGAAACAGCCCTGCTCTTTATTCACCGCCAAAGTAAAACCAATTGCAATTTTTAGCGTATGGACATGGCTTTATATCCAACCTCTTTCATCCGAGATAGAAGCGACAACAATCCATTGCGAAACTTCTGGGTCTCGGCATCGAGATTGGACTGGTTCTTCATGAAACGATTTATGTGATGTATCGCAATAAGGAACATGAGCGGATGCTGCTGCTGGCTAATCTGGCGATTGAGCAATAATCGCAAATACTGATTCAACAGGTTAATATCCATTTCTGCCGGTTCCAAATGAAGAGAAACGGGGTAACTCAACTGTAAATCAATCCTAACGTTATGAAATATAAAAGCCATGCCATACACGAGAGAAAGAAAGCTCCATAAAATTATTTATCCATAAAACTTACAGCAAGTCAACCAAAAAACATATTCAAAATAATCATGCATACAATCACAGACTTTCAACGCTGATCTGCTATCAGCCAAAATCTAGTCATGTATCTAACCAATACAATCTTCATTATAATAATGCACCCAAAAAATAAAATTTCACTAAACTTCTTCGTTTTTCATAAATCAATAATAATTCAGAGGAATTACCAACTGAGAAGGCATTCTGACCGCTGACCATGCTTGTTTTTCCGGACCCCAAAACTTTTTCCGGAATGCGATATCCTCCAGTTGTGTAACATACAGCAGCACGTAATTCGTAAATGTCGGGTCACCGTATGAACTGCCCAAATAATCATCCAGAATATCGCCAAAACTACAAACAGTCTCCCAATGATTCAACGATACAGGATACGCTAACGACTTCTACGTACACATCGTCCAAAGTTCTACCACGAAATCTATCAGCAGGTTTCAAGTCGAATCCCCGGAATCCTGGAGACTCGGTCATGATCTTCAGAACGATTCTGAGTGAGGCACCGACAAGTTCATCCCGATAAATGTCATCTGCAAAAGTATACAAATTTCAATAGAAAGTAAAGCTCGACTGATTAACCAGAATCATCAAAACGTACCATCGGCATTAAAGTAGGAAGCAAGAGTCAAATACATGTCGCTGGGCAAAAACGTTTTCCTTCCACAATGTACGAGAGCGTTGACCATAACAACAATCCACGCAAAGTATTCCCGAACAAACGATTCTCTTCTACAAATTCGCACAAAGGACAATTTAAATAACCAGGTAAGGACAAACAATAAACGCAATCTAAAAATTTCACCACCGTATACAGACAAACAAACCAGCTTTACCTAATATTGCGCGCGGCGCTCTGTTGTGCAATCCACGAGCAGAGATAGGAAAAGCAGTCAAACATCCAGAAAGTGGAAAACACATGGGCATCACGCGACGGCAACACCAACGATGCCAGTTGGTTATTATCCGGGAAGCCCAAAGGCCGTAAATCCATAAATGCCAGGCGCACCGTCACCATGTTTGATAAAGCACTTTCGTTGACGACTGGCCGTATTATGGACGATGCATCAATGAGCCAGGAAGTATTTCTGTTAAATAAATAATGAAAATGAATTCATCAACAAAAACGTAACCCCAAAATATACGATATGCAGCAAAGCAGGGTGTAAATCAAACCTCAGTAAATCCGCATTGAAAATAATCTCAGTGAGAATAGACCTCAGCTGCTCCTGCTGATTCTGAATCAACAGTGGGACGAGATGCAACGCCGCACAGTACAACAATTTTTTGTCGATAAGGTTTCCATCCTGCGTATTGTACTGTTTTACTATTTACGTCAAATTCGTTAAAGAGAAACTCAATTTGCTTGACGTTTTGCTCACTCTCAACAACGAATGCGCAAATAAAGCCAACTCAAGCAATGGTCGAACATAACGGTAACTCCAGAAATCGTCAGTATTTTGCGAATAAGTCGGTACTTGTTTCAGTCGTTTATTGATCAGTGCAATTTGTGCAGAATTCTGGAAAACAAAAATGAGTCCAAGCGATAAAATCTGTGAATCTCATGCGTGCCGATACTTGGGATCTAGTACACTTGAATATGCAGATACTTTGGACCACTTACGAGAGCGTTTCCAAGAGATGGCAAAGAAAGACAGTGAAGTACGCTCTCGGAATAATTCAAGCGTTCTGGATGGACGAAGACCGGATGAACAGAATTACCACCGTGAGCAAGAAGACCATAGGACTGCAGACAATCCGGATTACACCGGGATACTTTAAACTCATTTCGCTGGAAGATTTCGGTAAAATTCAGGCAATCTGCCAACGCCTCAGACAACCGGCTGCGCAATAATAAAACAATGTTGCGGCTCATCGGACGCTGCTGTTTAATATATTCCGCTAGATACTGCAGGTAGGACGATTCCAACTGGACAATGTGTTTCTACAAACCAAAAATTTCCAGCATGATTAGTCACAATTGTTGTTTTCAAAACACCGGCGTTCATGAATTATACAATGTACATTTGGTATGGAAATCGCGGCTTCCTTCAGCATAACGTACGCATCCATGACGTTCTGTGTGGTCTTTTCAACCAGCGCTTCATCCAGAACATGCGTGCTTTTAAAATCGGTTCGCAGACAGAGTGATAACAGCACCAACATCTGCGAGCAACAACGAGCGTCCCATGCAGTCGCCACCGTCCCGGTTTTCTTTGGGCCAGCAGAATACAATACTTGTGGGAAAACATCCACAATACTTCTGTAAACACGAATTTCATAACGTCTGCTTGCAAGAGTGAGCAAGATAACAGCGTGCTCACAAGGCGTTCAGTGTAATTTGTCCGTAATTCGCAATCATGATTAGGAGATTCAAGCTTTCGGTAACCATATCCCTGGTAGTAATATCCTCGATATCAGTGCGCCTAAAAAAATCGGTAAGTGAACTACAAGCCCTGAACTCAAAAAGAAATTCCAGATTTTGCTTTGGAAAATTGCCGCAGATTAGCAAATTTCACTACCGAGTTACAACATGAAAATAGTATGTACATATCTGTACCATACTGAAAAATCGTATGACTTACAGCGCAGATATCCATCCGGCTGCTGAGTTATAAATCCTTTCCGTGGCTTTTCCCGGCAACGGGCCAAGTATCCATGTAAGAATCCGTAAAAATCGCATCTGAGCAACAGGTGCTTTTCCAGTGACAGTTTTGTCCATCAAAAGTTGCATCAAGTCAGTATCGTCCGCTACTTGCTGTGCAATTTCACCAGAGTGGCGACTTATCCGAATTAAAATTGCGAATAGACAATTCACCATCGTACTGTCCATTTCACTGACGTACGTGTGCAGAAGGTAGGAAAACCGCCGTAAAATGGAAGTCCGTAACAATCCCTGAATTGCAACAAAATTTCTATAGCATTAGTGCAGCTACGTTCAGTTGTACCGTACATGTGTAATTTACCTTGCAAGCATTTCAAACTTACAAATGCGTAAAAATGGCAACTCCAAACATGTACAATCATGAGCTGAAATCCAATGCGGTATTTCTTAATAATCATGAGAATCAATACATTATCGATCTATTTCATTTTATTACTAAAATTACTAATATTTTATTACTAATATTACTAAAATGTGTAGTCACCAAAAAGAAAGCTTTTATACAAAAACCTACTGCAACGGTATATATACCTTAATAAGGTCAATTTTGATTAGCTGAGCGTCAGGCAGATCTTTTTCATCGGTATCCTTGTCTGAGGTTGGCGTTTCGGGTACAAGTTCAAACAGCAAAGGATTTTTGCCCCAGATAAGAACATACTCCGTAAGAAACTGCAAACCGATAATAGTTATGATCGGGAGTCTTATACCAAAGCAATTAAAAATCCTGTTAACAGCACTCACTTCATCCGCATCACTAACGAGCAGTGCCCGCAATGCCAGAATGGACGCTGTGACAACCGGCAAACTCGGACAATCCAGAAGGTAACGCAGCGGTAATACCATTCCTTCTTCGGAAATGCGTTTGAGGATTGATTCGTCTAAGTACTCGTCATATACGGCTGCCTTCGCCTGCAAACAACATCCTATTACAAAAACTGGAAAATCCATAGGAACAATAAAAAAGTCGCTTAACGATAATAATCTTGTTTTTACTGGTGTATGCTATGTTTCAGCCAATTCTTAGTACTAAAATGACGCACTTCTATGTTAGAAGCGAAAACACAACCAAATTTATCGTAGTCAAACAGATTGAAACGGTATACTTTCCCTAAAGACGTTGGTAATAATTATTGTCAAATATAATTACAGATAACAATAATTTTAATACCAATAAGGAGACGAAAAATAAATCCAGTACGAGTACAGCACTAAAACATCATACAACATTTGATAATGCTAAAATAGCAGATTTCAGTTTACCAACTTCACCTTCCGAAAAATAGCTGTCAGAATTCCGAGCGCCCACAATTTCTGTGACTGCGAGGAACTTTGCAGCAAAATGAGAATCTCGTCCAGAGTATATCCAGGCTTCTGCACAGCCAAAAAAATTCAAATATAATGCCAACAGCAATAGGAACATCGTTGAAAAACTGATTTTTGTTGTGGGCTACAACGCTAAATGGAGATCTGTACACGTACATCAGGATCCTGTCCGTGATGGTAAAGTCCCCTGCTGACAGGAATCTGGCTGTCGGGACTGAGAATCTGTCCCTCAGTGTCGAAGCGGGCCTCGAATAATTTTCCCTACAAATGTCCCCCGTAAATAACGGGTTGGGATCAAAGCAACACAAACCAAGTACTTTTTCCACGGAGACAGTTTCCGCTGGAGCTTTGGAAGGTTCGTTGAGATTCTTCATCCATTCCAGCTTCTCCGTCTCGACCGTATGATTAGCTAAACTCGGAGTGGTATTCTTCAAGTCCTGGAGTATATCAGAGATATCCGCAGCAACAGGATGGGATAGAGTTTCCGGATAAAGCGCACTGTCAACAGCTGGTTTCTGGTTGTGCTCAGGAATAAATGTCTGATGACTGTGATCGGACGCAGCACAAACTGGCTGGTTCGGTTCCAGTTTGACAACATCGCTCCCAAACTGGTGTTCAGGCTGACTGGGAAGGGAGGGATCCTGTTTTCGTGCGCCCATTTTCCGTTGATAGTACAGACTCCGCGGACGTCCCTGCGGGGTTGTGGATTGCGACATTCTCGGTCAACGATTTATTCACAGTTCACGCAGAGCCAATGATCATCGACAGGTAATCCGTAATGATCATCGACGGCACATACACACTGCTAGAACCAGAGCATCAAGAGGCGAACAAGGCGATAACATTCCGATTCACAACGTGCGTTGACGGTATCCTGATTAGTGCTGACAATTGGAAGATTAGTCTGACGTTTTGAGCTCTGAAAATACGAGAAAGCTGACCGCACAGAAAAAAGCATAAGTAAGAGGAAAAACCAAAATCTATGAATCCACAAATCTGATCCACCGTCGAAAATGAAAACAGATCGCCAACTCTCTACACTTTACGTAAACGCCTGCCCTGGGGTTTCAAACCGGAAATGGACTATCCAACGTCCTTTAACAGTTGCCAGTTATTGTTTTAAAAAGCGCTTTTTGTACTTTGTCCTTTGATGGTGCTGTTTTGGACAAACAGTTTGTTTTGTTCACTTATCTTTACGTTTGTAAACAGTAAATTTACGTATGTTAGAGACTCCTCAGTGTTGTTCACCGGCGTCACCACTACCAAAACCACAATAATTTCCAAATGAATGAAAATTACAGTTAGTGACTGTCTGACTGTCAGTTACTGTACTTTTAAAATCGGCATCGCGCCTAAAATCACGCTTTTAATAATTTTTATTGGTAATGATATCGTATCAAGTCTGCAGCTGCAGATCCATTTATCAATTTTATGCCTTTGTTGACAATGTTATGCTGGAACAGCCTCTCGCTGTGTTTCGTTCTAGAAAACTGTTTCGTGTTTACCGTAGGATTGTTCAAAACAACCGCAACCGAAGTCGTTCATGAATCAGGAAACGTTTTTATTCATAATTGCTTAGTTTTCATATTTTGCTTATCACTTCCAGAGAGAATAATACAAGATTCACACCAACAGCAAACGCGAATGCACTAGCCGAAATGAAGCTGAAACACACTGGCAAAAAAAGGAACGCGATGGAAATTTCCATTCAGTAAAACGCAGCGCAAAGTATTAAATACCCGGTTATCTCACCCATTAAAACATGAGCCGATCAACAGGGATTCACTGGGATCATGTACCATCTATTTACAAATGCTTCCCTTGCAGCGTCGGCGGGGTTTCCGTTTCGAAATCCGCACCATCGGGAGATGTCATCGGTCGGGATTCGAGATCCTTGGTAATATCAACACCGGTACCCGGCGCAGCCGTAAGGGCGTCCTTGGCGCTGGCCATCGCTCCTGATACGGCATCTTTGGCAGCTGTGGCAGCGTCGGACACCTTGTCTTTGGCTTGCTCATAAAGGGACTGGCCTTTATCGGCGGCAGCATCCTTCATCTCCCCCGCTTTGGCAGCGGCGGCATCCTTCCATTCGCCCATCTTCTCACCGGCAGCGCTGGCCATGTTGCTGGCTTTCTCCTGGACAACGGGCTTCGTTTCCTGGTACTTCGCGGCGGCGGCTTCTTTCGTATGCTGAGCAGCATTGGCAGCGTCGTCCTTAGCCTGGTCCCACTTCTTCTCAGACTCCGATTTGAACATTTTGAAGGAATAAAAGTGCAGTCGAATTAACAATCGGAAAATTCCACGTATAGAATTTCGTAATTTCAAGAAGTCACTTTAGAAAGCTTTGAAAAGATTTGTAATGATTTTGAATCTGCAGTCACTCGGTTTCGCAGTTCTTTTTGAAGGCAATCCGAATGGCAAGGAAAATTCCACAGCGGTAGTTTCGTTCGCAAGTGGCTGTTGTCACCCAATAGAAGCGCGGCTGGTCATGAAATGGGCGTGCAGACAACCGTGACTAATCGCACTGGTAAGCCAGCCACCGGCAGACGGCGGAAGCTGTTTCGACCCGTCGTTTGGAAACAGCCGACCGTTCGAGAATTGCGACCGACCTGATGCGATTGTAAAGTGTGCCAACGTTGTCGGAAATTTCCGGCTCGCAGTATAAAAAAAGACCGCGCACTATCAGCATCCGTAGAACGGCAACACATAGGATCAGATTCGGAAGTTCCAGTGGCGGGGAAGAAGCCAGGAGATTCCCCTACGTTGATGTAGTAGAGTTCCAATTATACATTCCCTGCTACGTTGCATCCACAAATACAAGCCCGTTTTCAAACCTGTAGACCGCTGTAAGCCCGACGCAGTGAATAAGCGCACAGTTAAAGGCTAGATTTTATCTGTTCTACACTGGATGCATTGGCGTAGAGCACTCAGTCTCATACTTGTCTCTCACTCTCTCTCACACACCCCTCACACCGCAGTGGCGTTAATGACCAAAACGCCGTGACGTGCCGAAGCACCTTGAATGGCTCAAGCCCACGTTTTTCAAATATCCCGCTTACAGCGGTCTACAGGTTTGAAAACGGGCTTGTAGAACTGTCATGTTTTGATAAAATTGTCAGTAAAACAACACAACAGTGTTAATAGCAGCGTAACACTATTTAATAGCATAAAGTATTAACCAACCGAATGGTCAGATCACGTATACTCTTGGTGTTTTGGGTGGAAAATTGGAAATGTTTAGGCCAGATACGGTAATACTGACCACCGTCCACCGACAGCTTAAGTAATTGCACCGAGCGCGAAGCGCGAGGTGCTGCAATTCGTGATTCTCGCCTGGACTGCAGACTGGCAGTGTGTCATTTTGACGTCACTAACAAACAGGGAGTTTACAGTGCGCCAACAGGAGAACTACGCATGCGCTGTGTTTCTGGTCGCGTGCTAAAATTTAAGGCGGTAGAGTGACACCGTTGGCCATAGACTATAGAGCTATCGCTTAATTTAAGAATACTTCGTACTGTAAGCATTTTTAGTCTCTGTTCGGGGCACACACGGACGTGAGTCTGTGCTCTGATCCAATCCTGCTGGAGGGTTGGGATCTGAGTTATTCACCTAATTCGGTTCATTTTGTGCACTTGGCGTCTCGTGCTCTCTTCAGCAATTACACGTCCACTCTCGCATGAAATCCATTGGAAATTTTGGCTGTGGAGTCTAAGTTTGTGATCAAACAAGCTAACAAACTCACGTAATCGAAGTTTTTTATTCCGGATCTCCAAATAAAAGTCATTGCCGACTACCTAATCAAATTTTAAATTGTAAATTCGCATTTTCAGATTAGTTCTTGTCCAAATGTGAGAAACCTTGGTGTGAGCAGCGCAACTTATCCAGTGATCCACAAATCTGCATTCACTATTGCACTACTACATATTTTACCTTGACTGTGCTAGAATTTTTCACTGAAAAAAAATCTATACAAGGCAATCAGGCGGACGATGCATCAGCGCACAGTATTTATAAAGTTAGGCCACGCAATTAAATTTTATCACTGTGGGTTTTTCCAAACCAATTAAACGGACATTGCAGATCGCGCCTGCACACTGATCATGGCGGAAGAGAAGAAGAAAGTTGGCGAGACGACCTTTGCTTGAAAACTTAATAAATTGTGGACGTTTTTTGTTGATTCTAATTTTTCTGATCTGTTCGATATTCGTACTATTGGTGCTTTTAAGCAAGCTTTGAACCGTGTCAAGTTTGTTTGAGGAGTCTGTCTATCTGCGCTCGAAGTTTTAGTTTTCACTGTTTGGCCAGGTTTAAAATCCCAGCTAGAATGTCACCCTAGCTCCACGATGAATAATTAAAAATAATAATAATAACAAATAAGAACGCCAGAAATTACAAAATGGGCTTGAAAACGCAAATATAACTTGCAACCTCCAGTCAATTAAAACTTTTGACGATACTAATGCGTGCACTCGGGTTAAGACTTCGATTTTGACTAACATGATTACTAAGGTTTATACTCAGTTATTAACTAAGAACAGCACTCTGGTTAAAGGCTCTTGTTAAAAATACGGGCAGCAGACGCTCAAATTTAAACAACCGTTTTGCTTGGCTTTAGCAAATCCCCGTACGAACTGACTCCAATCTTTTTCTGCAAATCTTATGCAAAACTATCACTCAAATAAACGTTCGCAACGTAAATGTTTTCAATTCATTTATATTTTTGTTATTTTTTTTTAAAAACACTGAACTTAAAGATTTGGGTGAAAATCTTTTTAGTAATATCTGCGCAGGGGTAGCCGCTTGATATACGTACCGTTCCGCATAAGGGTAAACCCGCATAAGGATAAATCGGCAAAGGACACTTTGGTATATAGTGATTTTGGCATAGTGAAATTTAGCTTCAATTCTAAATTTTAGAAAACTTGGGAAGTTGGAAAACGTAAGCGATTAAAAAATACATTAAACTAAAGCAAAGCAAAAAGGCTAATTTTATAATAACCACAAAAAAATATTAGAAAAGCGCAAGAAATGTGCACAAAAACAAGGAAACACAAGTTAACATAAGAAAACATTCTAATGAGAATATTTAGATTAGGCGTGCACAAAAAAATGACAGTTACATGCCGAAATATCTGTGTGGCGAATCGGCGAAATGTCTTTGTGCCAAATTTATCTCATGCTAAAGCGTCCGCTTAAAAAGTTTTTTTCATAAAGCATTTTGCAAAAAATAATTATGTGTAGCGCAATATTAACGATTCGTGAAGACAAAAAATTATTTATCAAATGATATTTGGTCGTAAAGATAAAAATGTTAGTGTAAGCTTTAACGAGAGTCTTAACGCGAGCACTAATGTTAGTTTTGATCTACGTATGAACCCAAGTGGTCATGCTAGTTCGAAGCATAGTCTTAACCCTAGTGCTCATAGTAGTGTTCACAAAAGTTTTGAGCCAGCGGAATAATTGCTTATAATGCGTTCCAAAACTATTTTGACACAAGTTTCATCACATTTAGAAAGCGTTGGTACTCGGCAGTGGAAGTAGCGTATCGCAAACCTCTTTCTCATTTCCAAAAACAGCTAAAAACATATTTATATGCATCTAATTTACTAAGAAGTGTGGTATGATGCTAAGATAACTTTTTAATCTCAGCTTTTTGCTTTTCAGTAATCCTTATCAACCAAAATTTATCATTTAGATCTACGCAAATCCAACGTTTCAAGACAGTAGGTTTTAGCAAACGTACAAGGTTAAAAAAACTGCTGTGATAAATGTCAGAAAAAAATCAGATGTGCAAACAATAAAAAAACCCCTCAGGTTTAAAGTACTTAAATTTAATAATGTCGTACTTTTTTTACGATTACGCCATTTTTATTTTTTAGTATTTCTTAGGTTTGGCAAAAAACGACTAAGTAATACAAATAAAAATTTGCAATTCCATTAAATTTAATACTTCGTCACGAAAGTGGTTTGAATGTGTTCTGGGGTCAAAACAATAGCAAAAATATAATAGTACTAGTAGACCCCGCGCAAATTGAGCGGAATATATTGCATACGGCCACAACAGAATCCTTAATTTAACGACTATCAAGATTTACGGGGAAACTATGTAGACTGTAAATTATACACGTTTTTCAATGAGCAGTTAGTTCTCCAACAACCTCATTTTTTAATACATGTAACCGGAAACTAAAATAAACGTTAAACTTTCGTATATTGATATGGGGGGACTTTTTTAAGAGACAGTGATCGACAAAGGTAGTGCCATTAATTTTACCTTACTTTTTTCTGATAAAAAATGTACTGAAATCATTTAAAAGTTAATGTTAACTGTGGACTTTCATATGTTGTAGAATTCTATGCTTCGCTTATAAACCCTAATTACCCTATACTTGCCTGAAGGTGTAGCCTGGTGGTACCAAAAATATTGTTTATTTTCCCATGGCTACTGTTTTAAGTTTTTATTTTTGCACTGAGTTATAATTTGTCCATGGCTTTGTCTGTGCCGCTCAATTTTCGCGGGCTCTGCTCGTTCTAACTTCTAAGTAAGGCCTCGTCTCGCATTCGAAGCGAATGTGGTTTTGGTACGGTTGCTCAACCGCACGAGGTGGCTGTACGCAGTGGCCACGCCTACCGATACGGTACGCGAAGCCACCTCGCGAGGTGGAGTTGCTGTATCGCAACAAGATTCGCTTCGAATTCGGGACAAGGCCTAAGTCACCATGCAAACGTATAACAGGCTGCTAGCGACCGTGGAGTGGCTGGCATAATCACTCAATTAAACAAGACAGAGCTACGGCTTTCCAGTGTTGTTCCCGTTGTTTTTATTTACCAAATTACGTTTGATGGCTATCTTAAAGATTAACATCTCCACGGTTAGATTAACAATTTCTGTCACGGGAAAATTTTATTTGGCGTGATCTTTACATCGCTCTGTTTTTTAAATTTTGAGCTGCGTAATATCGGCGTAACTGCAAAAATGTCAGCAGTGTCCTTTGCAACTGGGCAAGTCGTCTGGGCAAAGCTAAAAGGTATGGCTACATAAGTCTCCTTAAGAAGGTTCGCCATGCTTTCCAATTGACAATGCAATGACTACGAAAGATAACGCAGGTTACAACCGCTGGCCGGCGTGCGTGGAAACGCCACCGGAGATCGCCAGAAATCGTGGTGTCTACGTGCAGTTCTTTGAAACTGATAAACCAGGACAATTTGGTTGGGCTCCTAAATCCGGTAAATTGAAAAGCAGTAAAATGATGCAG